ACGCACTGCTCACCAAATGTTAAAATTGATATGATTATTAGCGCTAATGTTACTAACACACGCAGGTTGCCTGAACCCAATGCAAATGTTTTAGCCAACAGTTAACGTTAACAGTTAAGTTACATTAAAGCATCAAATGCGTCATTTCTTACCAACAACCGTTAATTTTAGCCAACGTGAACTCGCGTACAGCTTGACAACAGTAACTCACCTTGACCGAACAGCTACTGGCTATTTTTGTGTCCTATCCGTTAACGTTAGTTGCCGTTGGGTTTTGTGTGTGTGTGTTTGGCCCGCTCGGGTTCCCGGGGAAAAAACAATGACCACATTCCCTCCACCACGAAACGAGTTAGCGCGAGCTTTCGGTCACAGCCCCCTGCAATGTCACCGGTAATGTTAGCTTTACGTTAACGGACAGAAACTGCCGTAGGACCAGTATAGCACTTGCAGTTAGCATAAACTAGCGTGTGAGTGCACATAGCTTGCTTGTTTGTGAACTTTATTAACTCAACATTTGTGACCTTACGTTAGTTCCGTATCACAATCGCCATGGCAACACGCAGTAACCTCGATGTTAACATAAACGTTACTTCGGTTTTCTGTCGAGCGAACATTTAGCATTATTGGTGTCCATAAAAACAAAACCCAACACCTAATGCTAACGAGTCGCCAAAGTTGTCAACCTTGCCGAGATAGCTCGCTAATGCTATGTAGCTTGCTAACAACAGCTGCTCACCATCGAGCTAACTTTAAATGTCTCGGTAAGAGTTGAAGCAAACGAGCAAAGCTGAACTTCAAGATGAGAATCGTGACAACGTTAATTTATCGCACTAACGTTGAGCTAGGATTTGCAAACTGTCAGGACAAACCAACACAAACATTAGCTAACGACAAACGCAGCAGGTTAAAACAATGGCTTTTTTAGTCATGTTATTAAAAAACTACGCTTGCTAAGTAAGCTTTTACTCAAGCCAAGCGACATTGATGTTACCATTCAGAGTGAACGTGGACGAAATGTCGTAATGTCTAGCACTTCATATAACGTTATATCTTTTACAATTTTTTTAAGAGTCTAGTCAAAGCCATTTGATAAATAATAACGTCTTATCTCCCAAAACGCTGCAGCTCATGAATGTAATCCTGGCCTGTCACGATCACTTCCATACAGCAGGTGGCAGTATACATTAGCTGGTCGCTAATCTTAGACCACAGGAAGTATATTTGCAGGAAACAGTAATCTTGTCGTTCGCTGTTCGTTTGACGAAGGATAAAGATGTGGACATGAACGTGGAGTAGATTGTCTTAACTGGCGTGAAGAAAACATATAGCTAATGAATTGCTCCTCACGCTCACTCCTCGTCGATAAATATTGGCTTTCGAAGACAAGGCTTGATTTTTGTTTTCGCACTAAGTGAGTTGTGCCGTCAGTTAGCCACTTAGCTATCACAGCTAATGTGAGCTAGTTAGCGAAAAAAACTAGCTACTTTTTTGCTGCCAGTATCCAACACGCTGTGCAAGAAAGTATATTTAACAGCAGTAGTGTTGTAACCTGCAGCGGAAATAATGGGGTCGTCCAAGAAACACAAGGAGAAGAGCCGCGACAAGGACACAGAAGAGCGCCGTCGCGAACATAAGAAACATCGCCACAAGGACCGAGACAGAGACGCTTCAGAACGCGATGGGACTCGGGAAAAAGAAAAAAGAAAACGTTCCAGGTCCCGGGACAGAAGCGGACGGGAGAGCCGCAGCAAAGGTGAAAAAAGCAGCGGAGAGCCACGAGTGAAGAAGGAGAAAGTTGATCTTGGATATGAAGAAAGCAATACAGAAGTGGGACCTCAGTCTGCAAGCGGAGACGCATCCCTCAGCATTGAGGAGACAAACAAACTCAGAGCCAAGCTGGGTCTGAAGCCTCTGGAATTAAATGAGAACAAGAAGGAGCTCGGGACCAAAGAGGAACCAATGGTTGCTGAGACCATCAACCCTGTTCTTATTGCACAGCAGAAAGAGATGAGAGAGAAGCTTGCTGCAATGAAAGAAAAACGCCTCCAGAACCAGAAACTGGGTAAAGTCAAGACCCTGGCAGAGGATGACTGGCTGGATGACACATCTGCTTGGGTTGAGAGAAGCAGAACGCTGGCAAAAGAAAAAGAAATGGCAGAGAAAAGAGCCAAACTTCTGGAAGAGATGGATGAGGAGTTTGGTGTCAGCAGTCTGGTAGAGGAGGAGTTTGCGCACAGCAAAAAAGATGCCTACACATCTCAAGATCTAAAGGGGCTCAAAGTGCAGCACAAGGTGGGTTCTTTCAATGAGGGCCAGACTGTCATCCTGACCCTACAAGACAAGGGTGTACTTGAAGAGGAGGAAGATGTGCTTGTGAATGTCGGACTGGTGGACAAGGAAAAAGCAGAAAAGAATGTGGAGTTAAAAAAGAAAAAGCCAGATTACAAGCCCTATGAAGAGGAGGAGAGTGTGGATGACATGGTTGAATTTAAGGCCCGCTCCGTACTGTCAAAGTACGACGAGGAAATTGATGGTGAAAAGAAAAAGAGTTTTCGGTTGAATACAGGGGGCTTTGCTGATGGGGAGCGAGAGCGGGAGCTACAGGCCATGAGAGAGGCTCTCCGAAATCAGGCCCAGTCCTTGGAAATGCCTGCTCTCGCCATCGCCTCAGAGTATTACTCACCTCAGGAAATGGTGAGCTTTAAAAAGACAAAACGCCGTGTGAAGAAGATCAGGAAGAAGGAGAAGGAGACCGTTGCAGATGAACTCGATGACACTCGCAGCACTGATTTTGGCTCCAGGACACGTGGTCGAGGCCGCAGACAGTTGGATGAAGCTGATGAGGAAGTAAAGGAGGAAGAGCAGAGCACATTGCCACACAATATCCCACAAATGTCTGATGACATCAGAATGGCAGAAATGGACATAAGTGATGATGAAAATTTTACACCTCCTGAGCCAGCTGTGGTAGAGGAGGATGAGGCAGAGCAGGAGCTGCAGAAACAATTAGAGAAGCAGAGGAAACTGAGGCAAAAACTGCTCCTCAAAGACTCTGGGGAGAGGGTGGCACAGCAGATTAAAGTGCTTGATGAGGGCAACTATGACAATGATCCTGAGAAGAAGAACAACATTGTTTTCAACGCCACCTCTGAGTTTTGTAGAACTCTGGGTGATATTCCAACGTACGGGCTGTCGGGCAACAGAGAGGACCAAGAAGACATTATGGACTTTGAACAGGAAGAAGAGAAAGATGATGCTGGAGGATCAGACTCAGAAATGGATGAGAATGTCGGATGGAGCACAGTTAACTTGGACGAAGAGCAGAAACAACCAGATTTCTCCACAGCCTCTGCCACCATTTTAGATGAAGAGCCCATTGTCAATTCTGGCCTTGCTGCTGCCTTGCATTTGTGCAAAAACAAAGGTCTACTGGACACCCAAATGCAGAAGATAGCCCGTGTCAGAGCACCCAAAGGCACCTTGCCCAATGACAACTACTGCATTGAGGACAAGATGGGCTTTGATGACAAGTACAGTCGCCGAGAAGAATACAGGGGCTTCACTCAAGATTTCAAGGAGAAGGAGAGCTATAAGCCTGACGTCAAGATTGAGTATGTGGATGAATCTGGGCGGAAACTCACTCCGAAAGAAGCTTTCAGGCAGCTTTCACATCGATTCCATGGGAAAGGGTCTGGAAAGATGAAGACAGAGAGAAGGATGAAAAAGCTGGAGGAAGAGGCACTGCTGAAGAAGATGAGCAGCAGTGATACTCCTCTAGGGACCGTGGCTTTGCTTCAAGAGAAACAGAAATCTCAGAAAACACCATATATTGTGCTTAGTGGGAGTGGGAAAAGTATGAATGCAAACACTATCACCAAATAAGTTGGGGGAAGTGAATTATCTTGAACACATACACTGACACATGCACAGGACACACATACACACGATGTTTTAAGTAAAGTAACTGCTCCAATTTCATGCAAGCCTCATTGTTGTAAAATTGTCTAATAAAGTCATTACCAATGAGAGAAATGTTTTTGTTTTGGGTGTACAAGGTAAGGTAAATAGTGTTAGGATGAGAGTTGTGTTTTTTAATGAGAACCTAGTCAGTGTAACATGGGTAGTGTCAATTTTAAAGTCTGTTTAGTTTTGTCACAGCTATTACACATTTTCTGGTGTGAGGTTAGAAACGGGTTCAGTTGTAATTAATTTGAAAGTATTTCAAATGAAAGTATTTATCCAAAGAAAGTTCACATGCATTTGGTTTCTGATATTAAGGAAGAGTTGACAAATTGTATTTGGCTTTTTTAACTTGTGGTTTTACAACAAACTGGCAAAAATTAAAACAGTGGGAAAACACCCAGAAGATGAACATTTCCAGTATAGTTTTATAATAGTTATGTTAAACATTATACATGAATACACAATTTGGTTGTTTTTTGTTTGTTTTTTACAGGAAGTGATGGTGTTGCATTATGATCACAAGTTGCATTTAATAATGTCATTGTTGGCCTTTGAATAAAGTTAACCAACAGCAAATTAGAGAGACGTTAATGTGCAGCTCACAGTTTACATTAGACACGGTCTGAAATAGGCTGGATTTTTTTGAACAATAGATGTCAGCCTTCACATAGAAATGATGGGTGATAACCGATTACTTGCAGGGCGTCCCCCTCAATTTAAAAGACAAGGATTCATTATTTTATTTTTAATAAAATTAAATTGTAACTAAAACATGAAGCATTTACTTTTTCTTAAAAAATAGTGTCGATATTGAGCAGGCAACTTTATTGTTATTAAATTATTGATACATTAAGTAATTGTTTTACTACTACCGAACAAATTCGCACATTCGTTCAGATGATCAAATAACCATCAAGACTCAGTATGAGAATTATTTGATAATTTTTTAAAATTTTGCTAAGCCTGCAAGTTGTTTTTTGTTTTGTTTTGTTTTGTCTGAGATCGTGCCTGTCCTCAGCGGAACTAACGTTGACGGCAACGGGGCTCAACGATCGTTTTTTCGGTGCACAACCTGTAGAAAAGTATTGTGCTTGAAAGTGGTTAGCAAAGCTAACACTAGCGAGCTGACATCGCTTCATTCAACACGACATGCACGCCATTCATAGCTAAAATCTTGCGCGGAAAGGGTAAGTGTCACGAAAATGACCATGTCTTAATGTCACTTAAAATATCTGACAAATAAACGGAGAGTTGCACAGCTAATAAATGAACTTTAGCATCGTCTACGACGTGTCATGCTGTGTGACAGCTTCCTGTTTAGCTAGCGGCGAGCTTAGTGACGGACACTGTTTTAAGTAGCTTTGAATATTTGGAACTGGTTTCTTGTTCCTCGAAGTACCTTACGATATCCCGGCTATGTTTACTTGACACTTGTATGTCATCCTGGAAAATAACTGGTAGGTTAAGATGACTGTTATCGGTAGTGAGCTGTGTTTTCTGAGTATTTCAGAGTTGCCGTTACAGTGCAGTAACGTTAAACGTTAGCTAAACAGATTATTAACGTTAAGTTTCTGTAGGAGTCATGTCAGCACGCCATCATTTGTTGTTAAGTTAACGTATGTTGCCGTTTCCTCGTTCACGTTGAATCCGAGCTAAATATCACAGCGGCATTATAGAAACAGCTCAGTGTGCTTTGTTTTGGGGGCTACTATAGGTTCAACTAACGTTAACGTTACCTAGCTAACGTTCATAGGTGTTCATAGGCGTGAAACAACATTGTCAAACGGTGTAACGTTAACGTACATTTGACCAAGTGCAGGCAGCGTTGAGAGGTTACTATTTATGTGTCGATTTAACGTCCACTAAATGATTTATAAGGTAAGTAATATTTGTTGATGTTAATCATTTTCTTCCATTTTCGAGAACTAGAAAGTTAAACTAACACACCATTGCGCCTTTATAAAGCTAACGTATTAATTATGTCATAATAGGATGATACACTGAACTTATGAATCCAGTCAAAACGTGTTGACACTAACAAGCCAATGTAGTCGTTGATGGAGTGTCTGTAGCAACCAAAATACCTTTTTGTGCATAGATTTCATGCGACAAATGTACTTTGAAATATCAACACAAATACAAATCTTGACTAGTTTTATTTATTATTTCCCACAGGCTCTAACTTCACCCAGTGAAACCACAGCCTGTTGTGATGTCGGAGCCTAAGCCCCCTACTCCAACCCCTGGAGACACTTACAAGGGTTGGCTCTTCAAATGGACTAACTACATTAAAGGCTACCAGAGACGCTGGTTTGTTCTGAGCAATGGACTGCTGTCTTATTATAGGTAAGTTACATGAATATGACGGACTTTGTAATGATATGTAATGAATTTAGAGGGTTTTGTCCTGGCTCAACAGAAAGCCAAAGTGGTGCCTAATGGAGGGGGCAGGTACCACCCATCCCTTAGGTTGTTAACTTTTGAATTTCATAAGCAGTAACCCACAGTACTCGCAATTTTGAGGAAATATACAATTGCCTTACAAAAAAAACATTTACTTCACCAAACGGGGGTTTGGAAACTCCACAATTGATATTCTTGACTTCACTCTGTTTCGTCCTCAGGACCCAGGCAGAGATGGGTCACACATGCCGAGGCACCATCAACTTGGCCACAGCCAATATTGCAGTGGAGGACTACTGCAATTTTGTCATTTCCAACGGAGGGGCGCAGACCTACCACTTGAAGGCCAACTCCGAAGTAGAGCGCCAGCGATGGATCACTGCTCTGGAGCTCGCGAAGGCAAAGGCCGTCCACATGCAGGCTGAATCTGGTGAGAGGGAAAACAAATATGTTGGACAATGCTAGAGACAGAATATGAGAATTCATAGGGAAATCTAAACAGTGTATGCAGCAGCACCTATGCCAGGCATAAACATGTATTTCTCTGGGTGTGAAGCATTTTCTCATAAGATGTCTTCGTTTTTGGTCATATTATATTCTCTGTTGTCTGCCTCAGATGACTCGGGTGACGATTGTCCTGCAGTGCCCCCGTCCTCAGGACAGGGTGGAGGCTGCCGTAACTCGGAAGTCCAGTCCACACTACGCACACTCAACAGTAAGGTGGAGGACCTCACCACCTGCAACGATCTTATTGTCAAGCATGGGTCTGCCCTCCAAAGGTATTGGTCATCAGACTTTGCAGTTTGATTACTTTAGGGGAAAAAAACAATAATATCCAAAGAAAATGAGGGTGATTGTATTTTTTTGTTTTGTGTGCCTGTTTATTTGTTTCTTCCTTCATTCATTCCTTTCTTCCACACACACACAGGTCTTTGTCAGAACTGGAGGGGATTCGTATCGGAGGGGACATGGGGGAAAAGATTAGACAAGTTACAGAGAGAGCCACTCTTTTCAGAATCACATCTAATGCTATGATTAATGTAAGTCACCCCAAGTGTTAATTGCTGAGGAATGCACATCATTGTTGTTGACTCTTCTGCTGATGTATTGCTCTTGTTTTTGTATTCTCCCCAAGGCATGTAGAGACTTCCTGTCCCTGGCCCAGAGCCACAGTAAGCGCTGGCAGAAGGCCTTACAGGTTGAAAGAGACCAGAGGATACGGCTGGAGGAGACTCTGGAGCAGCTGGCCAAACAGCACAACCACTTGGAAAGAGCTTTCAGAGGAGCTACAGTTCTGCCCCCTTCATTCAGCAATCCGGCTTTAGGTAACAAAGGTACAACTCTCAACCCCAACTGAACTGTTCACCATGCCATGTACCTGCGCAAGTCAGCTGAGGTCAGTTGAGCCATTTAGTCACTTATTCTTTCACGTTCTCTCTTGACTGTAGCAGGCGTTTCAGGAAAAGGTGATGCCAGTGATGAGGACGATGACAATGAGTTCTTTGATGCTATGGAAGACCCAGCAGAGTTTATTACTGTCCCTGCTGACCCCAAGTATCACAGGTTATTAATTGTCTGTCTTTTTCAGATGTCAGTGATTTTTATTTATTTATCTCAACCTTGAAATTTTCTCTCCTTGTGTACTGTTTTTTTTGTTTTTAAGTTTATGCTTTCTTGTTTATCTTTCCACCAGGAGATCTGGCAGCAATGTTAGTGGGATCAGCAATGAGACAGGAATGGACGATCAGTCGATAAATGTGTGTACAGTTTGTATTGACTTGTCTTCTTCTCTGCTTGTCAACATGCCACAGTCACCTGACCCTTAAGGCTGTTTTCCTTCTCCTCTACCAGTTTGATGAACAGTCTTTGGCATCCAATCCAGAGTCTCCACAGTCCCTTGAGCTAGAGTCAGTTCGACAAAGACGGACTCGCATCCCCGACAAGCCCAACTATTACCTCAATCTGTGGAGCATCATGAAGAACTGCATTGGAAAGGAGCTCTCAAAGATACCAATGCCTGTAATAAACATGTGCTCTTGTTGGTATCCAAGTGGCCTTTCCTCGTAAGAGTAATCAGAAGTAATCGGACTTCTTCTCTCTGTGCCTTTTGTACCTACTAGGTGAATTTCAATGAGCCTCTCTCAATGCTGCAACGTCTGTCTGAAGACTTGGAGTACTACGACCTGCTGGATAAGGCTGCTAAGTGTCAGAGCTCTCTAGAGCAGATGTGTTATGTGGCCGCTTTCACGGTCTCTTCCTACTCCACCACTGTTTACCGCACAGGAAAACCCTTCAATCCTCTGCTGGGAGAAACGTTTGAGCTTGACCGGCTAAAAGAGTGTGGCTACCGCTCCCTCTGTGAACAGGTATGTCGAAAACAACACTGGAAATCATTGTAAATTGTAACCTACTGTGAAAAGGAAGCACCACACATGGAACACGTGACTTATGCAGACTATGGTTGGTTCTGTTCAGACTGAAATGTATCGGTTTCACTACAGGATAAGATTCCAGTTCTGAAAATTAAACAAGTTCGGCATGTTGAGCATGTTTATTCGCTTGAGTAGTTCCAAGCCATCGCATAATTGTGATGATCAAATCTTGACTTTATCTCTTCACTTCTCTCGTCTCTTCTCAGGTGAGCCACCACCCACCTGCTGCAGCTCACCATGCCATCTCTGAAAAGGGCTGGAGCCTCAGACAAGAAATTACCCTGGCCAGCAAGTTTCGAGGGAAATATCTCTCTATCATGCCTTTGGGTGAGTGCATGCAGGCTGAATTGCAGGCCTGAAGAGTACATATTTTGAGTCAGTGTGAAAAAAGTATGTTAGTTTGAATGCAGGAGGGTAAAATGTTTTGACTTCATGTTTGGGTTAATCTTGTTGAACCTGGAGCTTCAGAATATGAACAGTAAAAGAGAGCTAGCAGAATTGACCCCTCACTAGTCATAATTTTTAATTGGGGAAAATGGATTGTGTGCATTTCTGAGCACGTCTGTTTGTGTAGCTGAAAGGATAAAAGCAGAACAGAGGAGATATAGTATGGCTGGGAGTTTAGTGTGAGTTCTAGTTATTTTTATTTATTTTTTTACTTGTAAAATGAGGACACAACTAGCTAGTCTGGCAAGCTCCAGCAATCTTACCTTTCATTACAGCGTACAATAAAGTGCCATCCTGCTAATTCTGGTGTGACTGCTGCTTACAGTCATGCTAGTTTTTCCACAGTTAGTCAGTGCATAGGTCACCAATGTGGCTGTCACTGCGTAGATCTTTAAAATAACCTTTTTTTCCCCTGCTCACTATCCTATGAACCTTAGTATGTACTATAACATAGAATATGATGTTTATATTTTGGGTGGGCAGGTTAAAAATGACCACTGCCAGCTCTAACATTGTTCCCTCTCTATCCCTAGGTTCTATCCAGTGTATATTTGAGAAAAGCAACAATCACTACTCTTGGAAGAAAGTGACTACAACAGTACACAACATCATTGTTGGAAAATTATGGATTGACCAGGTAAATTTAAAGCTTAATACCAATACCAACTACTTGAGGATAGATAAATGACAGAGATGTCCTTATAAAACCTTTTGCTTATCATTTTTCTAGGTTTATCCTTTAAGTCTTCAACAACAAAATATTTTGTCTCTTCCTTTTTGTCCCCTTCCAGTCAGGGGAGATAGATGTGGTGAACCACAGGACAGGAGATCGCTGCCACCTCAAGTTTGCTCCCTACAGTTACTTCTCCAGAGATGTACCAAGAAAGGTGGTTCTTTTTCTTTATATTGTTCTTTTTTATTAAATAGCACTTACTATGTGTATAGCCAGAGCGGATATTTTTTTAAAATAAAGTAGAATTTATGGCAGAGCTGGTGTGTGTGTGTGTGTGTGTGTGTGTGTGTGTGTGTGTGTGTGTGTGTGTGTGTGTGTGTGTATAATTGCACTAGATTGTAAAGGTGTACTTAGGGCTGAGCGATATGGCCAAAAATGTTATCGCGATTAAAAAAATTTAATGTAATTCGATATCGATAATTATCACAATAAATGTCAAATCATTATTTCTTTCCAGTTTAAAGGCTGATTTTTGCTCCTGATTGAAAGTTTCTTTATGGTCAGAACACGACAAACACTTTCCAAACAGTTTGTTAAATAATAAATAAATAAATGTCAAATATGCTTTGGTAAAATTATGCATTTCCTACCGTAGTCTCTTTGGGTACACTCTTAACTGGAAATCTGTGTTTGTCTCTCAGGTAACGGGAGTAGTAACGGATAAGGATGGGAAGGCCCATTACGTGCTATCAGGTACGTGGGATGAGAAGATGGAGTTTTCCAGGGTAATGCAGAGCAGTAAAGGCGAGAACGGCACTGAAGGCAAACAAAGGACTGTCTATCAGACCCTCAAAGCCAAAGAAATCTGGACAAAGAACCCTTTACCGTGAGTTACAGTTTTAAAGAAGATTGGTAGCGTGTAAATTATTGTAGCTTTGTGCCACTGATCTTTTATGGTGATGACTTTACAGAGAGGGAGCAGAGAACATGTACTACTTCTCCTCACTGGCCTTGACACTCAATGAATTTGAAGAGGGAGTGGCGCCGACAGACAGTCGACGACGCCCTGACCAAAGGTTAATGGAGGACGGCCGTTGGGATGAGGCCAACGCAGAGAAACAGAGGCTAGAAGAGAAACAGCGCACCACCCGTCGAGAAAGGGAGAGGGAGGCTGTCACAGCCAGCACACCTGAGGAAGGTAAAAAAAAAAAAGAAAGGAAAAAAGAAGGAAATCAGCTTTGTTTTGGAGTTTATCTATTTGTCTTGTGTTTATGTCCAGTGTTTTTCTATCCATTCATCTTTTTGTCCACTTTGTCTGTCTTGGAATACCTTGTCTACCTGTCTCTGTCTCAACCCTAAGCAGTCACTGAGGATTCAATCAATGATTCACCCTTAAAAAGCAAGTACTCTTCTTATAGTCTTTCCCCACCCTTGATCTACACTATATAGCAACTCTAGATGCAAAGACACTGTGTGTGTGTGTGAGAGAGAGAGAGAGAGAGATATGAAGGTGCTAAATATCTTCATCATCATGCATCACTCATTCACATCATTCACCTTTTTCCATCCCTTCATCCATTTCTGTTCCATTTAGCTGATGCAGGGGAGACTGGCACAGAAGCAAATGAGGTTTCTGATGAAAGCAAGTATCACTTCCCAGCTTTACATAATATTTACTTTTAAATGTGCTTTGTGTAGCATTTTAACAGAGCAGTGAGTGAAAAATGGCTTGTTTCTCAATACTAGTGGTGTCAGAGTAACTGAAACAAGTGTAATTTGTGGAGAAATAAACTAGATTTTTGTTACATGCTGTTTGGAACTAAACACCCAAGACTCCCCCTCTAGGCATCTTCAACTGTACAGGTTGAAAGAGGCCACAGACTACTCAATACCGGTTTGACTTCACTATATTTTTCATCGGCCTCTACACTGCCACCAAGTCAGATAATATCGCCTGTTAGTTTTACGTCAACAAAATGAAATTGCTTTGCGGCACAAATGGGAAGAGGGCAGTTTAGTGCAGACAACGATGGCAAGAAAAATCTTACAGCTACGAAGCTGAGATCCTCTTTGTGTGTATGTGTTAGATGTCAAAACCTGTCCTGACTATTGCCGTTTTGTTTATAGTTAGTATATTTGGCTGTCAGTGTTTTTGACACGCCGAGTTGGTTTAAGATGCTACACACAACACTTCTAAAATGAACATAAACATGCATTATGTGTGAATTTTGGATTGAGTTGTGGATTTACATCTCTTTTTTTTGTGCTGGTGTTCAGCTGACACAGAGGACTCTTCCCCTCATACACCTGTTGCATGCAAGTAGCCCCTTACATTTCACTCTCTGTTCTTCTTTGTGTCTTCATATCATACCCAATCTTTTATGTCCTAACTCGCAAAGATTCATCCGTAATTCTTCTATTTTCAGCCCCTTATGGACCATCACTCTTCCCTTATCTAAGCAAGTATTCTGATCATGACATAAAACATACAGTGTGAATTTTTATTCAAATTCAAGTAATTGAATTGAATCTAGATAAAGAACTCCTGTTCATTTTTTATCATATCCTCTTTACATCCTTTGCAACTTAGTGGAAGGCAAGGAAGGTCCTTATGGAGCTCAAGTCAAAAGCAAGTAATCGTATCAGCGTTGCTCTCAATCATCCCCTGTTTTTTTTTTTGTCTTTTTGTTATTTAGATTTGTGTTGGTAGTCTTTAGGGAACCCTATAGAAGACTGTAGCTGACTGTAGAATTGGTACAAACCTAATACTTGAGTATTTTAGAGTAGTCATTGATCAGTATACTGTGGTCTTGTGGTCCCAGTTGTGAGCCTTATTCTCTCCACATGGCAGAGGAGAAAATTGGTGGTTTCATTGAGCACTCATCTATAACCCGCCTCCTTTGTTTTGTTTTCGGTTTGAATAAGGTGCATCTGAAGACCAAGCGATCGGAAACATTAAATACCTCTATCTCTTAGTCAACCATCTGAGAGCATGTCAGCTTATTTTAAGCATGATGTGTTGTCATGGCTCAGTGGCTTCCCAAACCTCACCTAGGGTCCCTCTGAATTTTCTTCTTGGTAAAAGATTTTCTTTCTCTTCATTTAGGCCCCCATCAAGAAAACTACCAAGCACTGTGGTTTGAGAAGTTAGACGACCCCGTATCCGGAGAGACCTTGCACGTCTACAAGGGCGGTTACTGGGAGGCGAAGGAACAAGGCAAATGGGACATGTGCCCGGACATCTTCTGATCCCAGCCGAGTCAGCCCGTTTTCCTCTGTGGTGTACAAATGAGAAGAGGTAAACTACCTTACATCAGCTAAAATAGGGAATCAAGCCTGACATCAACCTATCTAAGTCCATAACTTGAACTGATCACCCCACTTGGCTCCCCTTTTCCAGCAGTGATTTGCTCAGGATGAAGGGCATCTGGACTTCACCCTCAACGTAGATGCAATGCACATCGTAGCATTGTTGTAACATCGTAGCTGATTAGTGTTCAGCGTTCTCTCTCTCACTGCCTCTCACACACTGATGTTTATCTTGATCTTTGTCTACTGCCTGTTCTTTGGTATCACCTTTTGAGTTGCATTTGGCAACAGGTTATTCTGGTAATGTCATTATGCATTTTTCTTTACTTTCAAAGGCGTAATTCATCCAGGTGATGTCTTACAATAACCATGGTTTGCTTAGATATAGTAAGCTAACATGTCATTTATGTGTTTTGTTTTTGTTGTGCATTCTGGATTCTGATTATATTAGCCATGAATGTATTGCAGCTTCACCAGCACAGCAACACTGTAAGTCAAAGTTTAATCATACCCAACTTTTTAAATAGTTCACACAGTAAATATTCATTGTACCAGTTTCAGACCACATCAGGTGCATAAATGCACGGGCTTCAGTGGTTCTGACAAAGAAGAGGAAGTAAAAACAATAATTTTTGGACTGATATAAAATAATAAATGTCACAAACACTAAGACATGATACAGAGTTTGCCTTTGAATTTATGGTGATTTGCGGTGCTACTTTAATTTCTGAAGTGAAACAACTATACCTACATATTAGCCTTTTTTCATTTTTGCACTTGACTAGTTCAAAATCTCGTGATTTTCTTTTTTCTTTTACCCTGATATTCCACCGATCCCCCTATATAATACATGGTAGTGGTGAAGAGACGTGAAAGGTCATTATGATTATGCCTCTCCTCATATATTGGCCTGGTAACATCTGTTGTGGTGACCGATTTTTCTGATTCTGGGTCTTTAAATAGCTGCAGACGACAAGGTTTTTAAAAAAAAGTTTTTCACTATAAGAACAGTTAATAATGGCATTTCTGTGTGTACCACATTCATTTTAAAAGAATATATCTTTATTTCATATGATAGCATAGTGAATGCTATATGAACAAAAATAGAGGCACCAAACAAATCTGTAAGTACCAATGGAATAATGAAATAAATTAAAAAATACCAACAGCACTTTTGCTAATAATGAGGGGGGGGGGGGGGTATTCACATTGGTTTTTTTTTTTTTCCTTCAACAATCAATTTTGAAGAATAACTTAACACTAAATCCACTTGTTTGGATGAGGAAATTACATGTAGAGTTTCTCTACTACACTGTAAATTGATCCTGTTCACATTCTATAGTGTTTATTACAACAGAAGTTACTTTTGTTTTTACAGGGAAAACCCAATAATCCTATCCTCTAGACCCCCCGCAAAACCACCCCCCGATATATGGGTGGCAGATGCATTTTCTTTTGTATTTGTGAAGGGGGCATGTTCAAGCTGAAACTGTCTCTGTAAAGAGTGTAGCTGTTTATCATGTAATTGAGAGCAAGATCCTAATATAATGAAATCATATTGACTCCAAGAATGCTTAAGTTGAAGATAAAATGTGCTATCAAGTCTATTTTCATTCTCCACCCAAGCACACAAGAGCCTAAAGTTTGTGCTCTTAATGATGCTTGGATCGCCTCTAACAGTTGTGCTTTCAAAGTAAATATCGAGACGCACCATTTAAACAGTCGAGGTTGATTTAAGAGCAGCAGAGCTGTGCTCCAAGTTGTCACTGAGCTGTGTGCTGATTCTACTGGCTTGATGATTAGTGAAGTGAAAGGAAATGCGAGGTGTTTTTGTCTTCCTGGTTTCCTTTTAAATGTACTGATCATAGCTTTAATCTTGATTTAGGTTATTTCAGTATTTCGTGTGTTGGGAGTGTAGATGTATAAAAGACAGCAATAAGAGTGCCTCAGTGCGTATGTACATGTGGCACAAAATGAAATGCGTGAAGCGGGGAACGCTGCACACTGCAAATACTAAAATCTGTCATTGTATTCATCTCTGTTGATGATATGAGTGTAAGGACTGTGCGGTTGATGGAAATCAAATTTTTATTTTATATTCAAGTGTACTTAAAAGGAGGACACTGAAGATCACAAAACATAATGTTGCAAATATTTCTGTGTAAATATAATAAATAGTGACGTAATTGTGATAACTGGTTATATTAGAGAATCTAATGGCGGTGAAGCACTTTTATTTCTTTTTCTTTTTTATTGTTTTCTCAGAACTGGATGCATTTTCATTGTCTGAGCTGAGAGTACCATGTTACCACAAGTCACCCTCTACCAGATATGATAGCTTTATTTTAAATATTAATTTCTTTTGGTCTGAACCATCCCTTACTCTGATCTACTGTCATTCCATACATCATTTAAACAGATGATGTTGTGTTATGATGAGTGTGTTGTGAGGAATATACAGCTTAAATTACAGAACGACTTTACAGGTTTCTGTCTGTCCAGTCTTTTTCGACAAAAATAATCCTATCTCCACTGTTCAAAATTGCATAGCCGCATTATTCAATCTGTGTGTTTTTAACTTCTTTCTTAAGTTTCCTTTTTTACCCCTTTTATTGTTTCCAGCTATTTTTTTTTTTTTGCCCCTGCACTGTGGAGATGAGACGATGCCCCAACTTCCCACAATTGGTAAAAATTGACTGTAGGTGTTCTTGCACTTCCGTACAATATCCATTATTTATCATGCCCTATGTGATTTGACTTTTTGATGTTGGCTACTGAAGATTTGTCATTTTGTGAGTTTGTTTTGAAAACTTTTCCTAAACCATGTTCAGTAATTGCAAACGTGTGTCCATTAGTTAAAATATGCAGCTGTATGGACTCACAGTTCTGAGCATACTTTTCACCTTTTCTGTCCTTCAATGCAGTTTCTTAGCAGGATTGTGTTAGAGGTTGACAATATTAAAGTCTTAATGGAAATGAAGAGCATGTCTTTGCTGTTTTTGATTTCCCAAACAAAGCATCTCAAAATGGTTTCTTTTTGTTTTTGAAAAGATTTTTCTTAAATCATGCTTAAACCTGTGTATAGACAGTATAAACCACATTAATTAGTGATGTCTGTGTAGTTACTCTGGTTTTAGGCAAAAATTTAGTGAGGCTAGACTAGCTTATGGCCTCTAATGAGAAGTGAGCCAGTGTGCACAATTTTATATATTACACCTGTGCTTTTCGTACTTTGACATATCAAAATGTCCTCTGGGAAAGACGCCTATGGTTAAAGCTGCATTATGTCTCCTTTTTATGGTCAGTTGTCACATTGTCACCATCAGTTGTGGAAGAAGTACTCAGATCCTGCAATGCCTTGTTGTAAAAATACCCTATTACAAGTACAAGTCCTGCTGCAAACATTTAAGTAACAAATAAAACTAGAGGTACTATAAGCAAATATATTCTGAAGTATCAAAAGTAAATTGACTCATGCAAAATGGCCACTTTCAGAGCATTATACTTTATTAATGGCTCATTACTGATGTTTTAATATGGAGCTGGTAGCGCTAGCTGTGATGCATTAAAACATTTTGACACAACAAACAGTACAGTAAAACGGAACAGAAACGGGGCTTTATTTTCCCTGGGAATTTGGGGAAGCTTAGGGACCTGGGGGACTTTACAGCCTGAAACTGAAATTTTGCCACAGTGGGTATTTTACAGGGTATTTTCTTTAGCATTTCGAGATGTATTCTGTTTAAATTTGACTCACTTTATGCCAACAAAATTACATTTTCACATTTCAGTACCAGCATTGTGATCCACAGCAGTGTGGAGAAGCAGCTTAGAAATATCTTTAAAACAGCATTTGTGTACAGGGTGGGCTGATTGAAGACAACTTTCTCCAAATGAATCTACTAAATACAATATAAAAATCCAAATAATCAGACATTTTTAACAGAGTTCCCTGTTCGTTTTTCTTCGGTAGTTCTAAAACCGTAGCTCCGCCCCTCATCAGAGGAGTTTGTATTACACGGCAACGACGCTGAAGTTAGCTTCCGATTCGGCAGATTTTTTTGTGAAAATGAAAAAAGGACAATTTCACTGCTTTTTCTCCACATGCAGGCCACACTACACCAGGTCCAGACACAAAACCACTACACCTACAGGTCAGGTCCAGATCTTTCACGAAAAAAAAAAGCCTCGGAGGAATATCTAGTCCAGATTTGAGAGCTCTAGGTAACGTTTTGGATCTGGACCTGTGGTCTGCATGTGGAGAAAAAGCAGTGAAATTTCCCTTTTTCATTTTCACAAATAGAATTAAAGTTTTTCAAATCAAAAAAAGTGTTTAAGACAGCGTTAAGGCTTTGCCTAAAATGCATAACAGCTTCCACAGCAGTAAGAGGTGCAAAAAACGGGAACTCGGTGGCTCAGCAACGTCAGTTAACTTTCACTTAATTATCCCTTAACTGCCGAATAGGAAGCTAACTTCAGCGTCGTCACACGGCAGGCGTGGGATGATAAAACGAGTGCATCTCCGCATGACATCAGCATCTTTGTTTACTGGTCAGGCGAAGCTAGCTTATATCCCCTAGTGTGTACGATTCTATATGCATTAGCACTTAGCATCAGTTCTCTGCGCGGGTTCAGGGTGTTTGTTATTTCACTGCGTGATTTTGGGGTGAATTAGCTTATTTAGCGTAACAAATATGTCTGCAAACGCAGCTGGACCCGGAGAAGATTTCATAGACGCAAGGAGAGGCGATGGACAAGAGTGAGTGACGGTTAATTAGCTAGTTTATCGCTCTTTATGTGTCGCAGCTTATTGTTGTCCATCACATTGTTAGCGGACAGTGAAGAGGAAGCCGTTCGTCTTCATTAATTTCCCATATTACTGTGGACCCTGTTACTAGCATATCAGTGCACCCGCTAGCTAATATATTAGCTGCTGTTTGTAATTCTGTTAACTGTTTTAGCAGCGAGTGATTATATGAAGCATTAATGCAGGCCTGTTACTCACTCTTTAAATGCTTCCTCCCCATTTAACATGAGCTCTTCCTCGGTCGTGTTTACCTAAATATCGCGTTGTTATCTCTTCTATCTAAATTCTAGACCGTGTTATGGTTTGTTGTCCCTCAGGTCAGAGGGGTCTTTGTCTGCCTCTGCCCCTATGGACGTGGACGCCAAGCCCAACTCCCACAGCTTCAGATACAGTCTTAATTTCCCCAGCATCGGCCAGTGCATCATCATCAACAACAAGAACTTTGACCGGAAAACAGGTATTTATTTTGTTTTGGGGGGCCTGACTGGGATCAAGTTTATTTTCAGTTGAAAATCAACTAAATGAAACTGATGTGAATACATGTTACCACTGTAAAAGAGTATATTTGACACAGAACCAGGTTAAATGTAATATCTGATGTCATATTTGTGCTGAAACTGTAGAACAAAAAAATTATTTATGTATCAATCTATCATTGTAATTTAAATAGTAAATACCCTTGGGTTCTTAACTGTAATCAGTCGAAATAACTAAGGTGCCCATGATATGCATTAGGCACTTTTGTTTGTTTTGTTATATTCTATCCGATGGCTCACATGTACACTGTTAAAACTTTAATTAGCAGTTAAAAGTTAGCTGGCAGTAGAGGTTCCCAGTTGGTGTACACACACTTCTCCGTTTGGTGCAAGGAGATCCCTTGGTTGAGCAGCAAGTGCTTGATTAGGTTGAGCTCCATGGTGAGATCTCTAGGCGGTGGGGCTCACCTTCCTTCTGTCTGGTGGCAAATTTGTGTTGGGGAGATGGACTTGTGATTATTTGTGGTGTTTGTCTTGTCCTTCTGCAACTTAGCTGTTTGCTCCACCACGTTGTACACGGCAGGACCGATTTATATACAGTATATAGCCTGGAGTTGTGTGAGCTCCATGAACGTTCTTTATACAGAAACAAGTCAAAGTTACCTTTTAGTGGAGGTAACAGTAAAGTGAGGCTTTGCTTCTCGGTAACACCAGCTTGGTGTACAACAAGGCAGGTCAGCTGGCATCTACACCTTCATGAGAGGATAAGTGTGCTGGGGGACCCAATTTACACTTTTACACTTGTTGCTGTGGATTCCATGTAACGACATCCCATGCCAGTTAATTAGAAGTTCAAGTTGGCTCTGTGGCTGTCTTTAGTTTGCCTTTGCCTTTAACCCTTTAGAGAGAGTGAGAACAAGCAGGTAGGTGTACTAATCCTTGTGTATGCATCCTTGCATTTGGTAACGTAAGGCAATTAAATTTCCTAGTGCAGCGTACTGTTTGTGCTTTTAGAAGATCAGCTACCCATCTGACCTGCATTATGATTTGACATGCATGACATGAGTTCCCATTATTCGATTAGTTCCTCTTCTGAGTTTGATGTGTAAGTCCAAATCACTTGGATTTCCTGGTAGTCTTGCTTTAGGGAGGCAGGGTACAGAAGGAAAGCCATTACAGCTATACAGCCATTCCTCTTTTTTTTTTTTTTTTTTTTTTTGTGAAGACCATGTCTAGCCTTAAGGATCTATAGTGCAATGTTTATTCAGCGCTTGCTTCTCTGAGGATATAAAGGCTGTCTACAATAGTTGAAGATACTGTATGAAACTTAAAGAGCCTCTATTATTTGGCTGAGAAGACATCGGATATCAATGCAAGCGAACACAGCTTCAGTCTGTTCTTACAGAGCATCAGAGTTCCTGTATGATGACCTTATTTTGCTGTCAGACCTGTGTTTGACAAACCCATCTAGCAGGACTTACTGAGTACACATGACTGCTTGGTCTACAAACAGTGTAATGTTCCATGAGTAAGTACATCAAATGAGTGGGGAAAACATCAGCAGTGGTTGAACCTGTATTGCCAGGTCCAGTTCATTGTGTCCAACTGTTCAACCAAAAAAAGATTTGTGCACACTTGGATGTACCTCTGTAATCCCCCACACCCCAAGAAAATTGGATGTTGCAATGTTGGGCCATAAGTGAAAGCCAGATCAAAACTCAGTCCAGCAAGATGCACTTGTTATTTATTATGTAAATCTTTTTTTTTTTTTTTTTTTTTTTCCAAAATACTAAATTTATCAAACGCATACCTAACCCGCATTGGACCTCACACCCCACCTTAATCGCCACAGAGCTGCTGGATGAATTCATGAGCAGAATTCTCACACACCCGATGTATTATGCATTCTTGTTGCCCTCATTGAGATCAGATCTGTCCTCTAGAGCAAAACCTGCCACTGTGGTGTGTGTGTGTGTGTGTGTGTGTGTGTGTGTGTTACATTTATTTGGGCAAACGATCATTAATATGCACATCGCTAATGTTGGCTTTGTGTGTGTGTGTGAGAGAGAGAGAGAGATGTGGAGGCCTTTTACATTTTGTTGGTGGCTGTCATGCATCCATATTCTGCTGAAATGCACACACAGTGTGTGATAATGTGATTATTTGTAAGGACGATTTGCATTGCTGTTCAAGAAATAAGATTTTTGTTTTGGTGATAAATCTCCGCCGTGCTGTTTGCTCTTTGCATCAGCTGGACTAAGTTAGTGTTTTATTTTTGTTTCGGAGCTTGAATTGTCATGGTAACTTTTGCAGCACAACAGGAGAGGACACAAAACGTTAGGCTGGTAGTTTGCTTTTTCCCCCAGCAAGAGAAAGGAAGCCAGAGAGCCACTGTTAAACGTAATGGTTGGGAAAGGTCAGACTTTCTCCAGTACTAGCTACCTATTTGGTTATTTATGGTGAAGGGGGGGGTCATGAATTTTCCACCAGTTATTCAGGGAGGCTCAAGGAAACATTTTTGTAGCTCAGGAGAGGGTGTGCCGACCTAAATCCATGGCTCTGTGTGGCACGTAAACAAAATACCAAACAAACAACAAAATAATAAAACAAGGTGTAAAAACATGAAATTAAATGTATTACTGCATCTTTGGCACCTGCTGCTGTTTGATTATCAGCTATTGATTATCATTCTCTGCTTTGTTTTTAAAGGCATGAATCAACGAAATGGTACAGATGTCGATGCAGCCAACGTGATGAAAGTGTTTACAAAGTTGGGTTACAAAGTGAAGATTTACAATGACCAGACAGTTGATCAGATGAAACTTGTTTTAACTTCTGGTAAGTTTGGTGCGGAATTCATACAGAACCACCCTACAGTGTGCACACTCACAACACAAATGAATACTAAGTCTCCAAACTATTGACTCTTGTCACCTGCTGTTTGGTACACAATCTTTTAAATTTCCGTATTTTCAGTGTCAAAGGAAGATCACAGCTGCCACGCTTCATTCGTCTGTGTTCTGTTGAGTCACGGTGATGAGGGTGTGTTTTTTGGTACGGATGGCTCCATAGAGCTCAAGTACCTCACATCACTTTTTCGAGGCGATCGCTGCAAGTCGCTGGTGGGAAAGCCCAAACTCTTCTTCATCCAGGTACTGTAAGAGTTTTAATTATTTTATTTTTTATTTATCTCTTTATGCACTAACTTGTGGGCTTTGCATACAGTGAGTGTCCAACCTCTAACCAGGTCTTGTTTTGTTTGTGTGCACATTGAGTAGGCTTGCAGAGGCACTGATCTGGATGCAGGCATTGAAGCAGACAGTGGAGAAGATGGCGTTACCAAGATTCCTGTAGAAGCTGACTTCCTCTATGCCTTCTCTACAGCCCCAGGTTAATACTTATACACACAATCGCAAGTCTCCTTTTATACTTATTACCTTTTTATTTATTGCATTGATACAGCCTTTATTACATCACTCATCCATCTACAGGATATTACTCATGGAGGAATACTATGACCGGGTCCTGGTTCATCCAGTCACTGTGTGATATGATCAGCAAATATGGAAAAGAATTGGAGCTCCAGCACATCATGACACGAGTGAACCACAAGGTGGCAGTAGAGTTTGTGTCTGTCTCCAATTCACCAGGCTTTGATGCAAAGAAACAAATCCCATGCATTGTGTCAATGCTGACCAGAGAGATGTATTTTTCTCCTTGATGTTGTCTCTACTTCAGAAGACTTCAGCCTCGCCGGCCTTCATCTGCAGAAGAAAGGCTTGAGCATGTGCATGGGTTGGTGTTTGTGAATTATTTTAGTTTACACTTCCTGACTGGATATCTCTTGAAACCTCAGCTTACATTTCTGGGAGAGTAGATGTGATGCAAAGTCGCTGTCACATTTCACAAGCTTGTCTGGGATATAAGGCATTACAATGTTTATCCCTGCAGGAAAACTATTTGTATTCTATTCTAAAAAAAAAAAGTAACCTTAAAAAACATTTATTTTTTTTAAACAATGTCAATGTAAAATTAAAGACTAAAATAACATTGAAAAATAATTAATCTGAAGATAAAAGGTAATTGAGTAATTCCATATTCACAATTTGCTACCAGTAGAGGCCTCTTTGTTGTTTACATTGTATACATTTCAGGGAGAAACATTGGCGCTAGTTTGATAGGAAGTTTGACCTTCTATATTTGTTTAATCATGAAACCATAGATGGGCTTCCTGCCTTCCAGCATCAGCATTGTTATGAGTCAGCTGTTTATTTGAACTCAAGTGGGATCATTTTGTCTTCTATTACATCCTTTATCTTTTTTTAATCTAGTGACATTTGGCATTAACAATCATTCAATGAATTTGTACCTAATGAGTTGTGTGAAGCCTAAATGGATGCTACACTGACTCTCAGTAGGTAAATTAAAAGGATAATGTTGTGTTGCAAATTCTGGAGCATCCACCCAACTATCCTGTGTTTTTGTTTTTAAAGCTCAGAATGCAATTTTTGATGTTTTTCTAAATATGGATTTCTTTGAATGAACTGTTTGTAATTGTCCTCAAATTAGTGGAGGTCAAGCTCCATATCATGCATTAGTAAAGCCAGCACACTAGCACAATGCTTTTAATTGGGGCACGTTTTGAGAAATCATTTAGAGCACAACTTTACATTTCATATTTGGCATTAGTGCATGTATTATCATGTGGTTTTTAAAGAGACAATTAGAAAAAAAATTATGCTTTTTCACTTTTAATTGATGGTTACAGTCAACTTAAATCATTTCCAATGGAGCCATGAGTGAAACTTTCATATGTAACCATCAGCTTTGAGAGATTCAAAAGCTCAATTTGGTGGTCTTCTTATCCAGGTCCACTGACTGTCCAGTGTTTAAGTCATATCAATGTAAATATTTTGCTGTGAATGTCACTTTTTGGCTTTTGTGTGTTATCACTATTTTGTTAGCTGCCACACTGAGGTTGCTATGTTTCTCCTGAAAAATAAAGACCACTTTTCATTATTCTGTGTTATAGTGTTATTGATTTTGCTATTGGCTCTTACACATTAACAGTAGTATAGATCATCAACATCCAGAGATATAAAGTTAAAGTGCTCACAGTCTCATAAAGTCTTGCGTTCATATCTTGTACTCAACCAGAGTTAATCTCTACAAATACAGTAAAGGGCCTACTTGTGTACACGTCTTGATTGTAAACAGGCAGGATTATTCCAGATTTGGCATGCCTGGAGGTGAGAAGAACTGGGCCACCAGATCCTGAGGCTCGGTGCCAAATAAAACTTGGCCTCAGATTCCGTCACTGCCAGCACAGACGCACTTAACCTAAACTAGCTTACCAAACAACATGCCACTTACTACCTGTTGGATGTACTGAATACAAAGGCTCACAGCTGTCACTTCTCACCTAAATACAGCAACAGTATATATAAATATATATATATATATACCTCTAGGTTAGCAATTGTAAATGACTTTGGATAAAAGCGTCAGCTACGTGAGTAAATGTAGCGTAAAGATTAGGTATTGAGTCAACAAATCTGCACCTCAATGTTAACACCTGAGGCAACTAATATACAAGCATGACATGTACACAACATTGTCACATGCCATTATTAGTGCAATTTGTGTGCAGCCATCAATTAATCTGCCAATTATTTTCTAAATTGATCAATCATTTGGTCTTTGAAATATTACAAAACTTTGAAAATGTTTATCTTAGAGCCCAAGGTGACATCAAGCGTCTTGTTTAGTCTGACTAGTTCAAAGCCCCAAACTACAATGTACTATAATGTAAGACCAAGAAAAGCAGTCAGTTCCCAGATTTTACTTATTAATGTAAAAATATATTTATTAATCATTTGATAAATGATTAATTTATTATCAAAATAGTTGCCAATTAGTTTTCTGTCGATTACCTAATCGATTGATGCGGGTCTACAATCAAAGTGTCTGTTTATGTGGGCTTGAGATGTAATGAGCTGACAGAATTATCTGTGTTTAAACATCTTTATGTCCAACATATTTCGCCAATAAATAATAAAGAAAGAAAGAAAATACTTGGGATACCCCTGTATATTATACTCCAGTACAGCAGTCCTGTAATAAACATTAGCATTTTAAGGTAGCTACCTTTGTAAAAACTTATATAATGGTGTTGATTTAACTCTATGGTAGTTTTTGAGGCTTTTTGTGGTATTGGATTGCATTGCATAGTAAGATGTGAATATGTATGCTGCTCCACATATAAATGAGGTGGACAAGTATGAATAATTAGACCTTTCAATACATGCAATACCTATATATTACAAACACAACACCAGTAACCTCAGTTAGCTTAATGTTAAACATGTTTTTGTAATGTATTTTAGTATTATTTGATTATGCTTTATGTGTAAGTCTGTGTCTGTTCTGTGTTACTCTTGCAGAAAGACAGATTTCCCTTTTTGTGACAATAAAGTATAGTAGACTAAGAATACTGCATTGAATCCGGCAGGTGTTTCTCTTTCTCTGGCCACGCTTTCCCCCCACATTAGTATGTTGTTGTGCCAACCCTTAGATAAACTTTAAATTAAACTGACTGTTGTTATCGTTAACCATCAGATCAGCATAAGACTGGAAAGCAGGTTCTAACAATAAGAGGGACTTTGGTGGTCTTCTAATGAGGAAAGTAGAAGATTACGTGTGGCCCCTGAACGCAGCACAAGTCCTCGCCTCTTTTGTCGCTGAAAATAGGCCCTAATACTCTCAGTTGGGGTTAGTTGGCTGCAGTGCGCGTCGTGTCAGGTTGCTGATTCCCCTGATTTTACATGGAGCACCTGTGTCGTGCTGCAGACTCTGGATCAGCGCGGCGTGATTTATTTTCCCCTGTAGTCCATCTCTGAAACATGCCCAAAGTGTAGGTCACCGGGTAGCCTAATTTCTGGATGGAGCTGTAAGACCTCTGCGCGGTGTAAACAATCTTAAGAAACAGTAGTTTTCTTTGATTCTCATGCGGACCACCGTTAACTTTGACTGAAGCGAGAATGGAAAAGTTCCTTCATGTAGCTCCGCACTCTCTGGCTCTGGTGCTGTCGGAGCTTTGCAGAAAAGATGAAGGGGACTCCCCATCATCATCACCGGCCGTGCGCTCAGTAAACTTGGAGCATCACACCGGCTACGAGGTCTTCGCTAATTTCAAAGCTGTAAACATGCAGCATTTCTGGAACAAGGCTCTGACGCACGCGCTGTCCGAGATCTTCTTCCTCGGCTGGATAGATGAGCATGTGTTGCTGATCCAGGGCAAAGAAGTTCACCTTCAAGTCCTCAGGAACGGATGGACCAGACGGACCCTAAAACCACCACAGGGCTTTGACATCAAGTGCATAGGTGGGTATGTTGGATCATCAGAGACAATATGCATAACCATGCTATTACACTCCACTGTAAAAATGCAAAGTTGCACAGGAAGTCCTATAAATGAGAGTGGCTGGTTTGCTACTTAAGGTGCAAATGTTTGGAAAGTACAGGCTATGTTTTCTGCTATCTTTGTGCAGGAACTTTTGCTTGCAACGTGTCAAAAAACAAAGCAGCCTCATTCACCAGTAACAAAGAAATATTTAGGTTAAAGCAGCGCACAGTAGCAGTAAACACAAGCGTTTAACAATAAGTATAAGGTGCAGTGGCAGTAACATGTAATCAAATCTGGCGAATCTTGGCCTCCAGCCACAGAGTCTGTCAGAATGATTCAACTATGTGACATAGATAAAAAGATTTAAGCTCCTGTGGGCCATATTAACTGGTATGCCATTTAGCAGGGTTTCCCCTTACTGTGGATGTCTGTTCAGAGCTGTAAAACTCGATTCAGATTTTAAAGTCACAAAAGTTAACATGTGGACTTCACTTACTTGAGACCTGACTCGCTGAAGACTTGAGCTGAGTTGAGCGTTGATAGCAAAAACAACCAAGTCTCAGGGTCACTGCTGGTCAGTTTCTACAGTCAGTTTCTCAGTGTTTGTCATGTATGTCACCTGTCGGTAATCTAAATACCATCCTGGCAGATTTTGTGGCTCTTCAGAGCTCTGCTGGTTGTCTCGTGCCAATTATCACACTTCTTTAATAGCTGACAAATTCTGCTGATTAGCACCCAACCTTATATGACCCTCCTTTTTTGTAAATGTGAGTTAAAATACTTTCCCCTGAGGTTTTTATATGATATTGTCTACACCCTCTGAGAGTCAAGTTAACAGTTCAGCTGCAGGGTACATGATGCCAGTCGAAGCTAGTCTGATGAGAAGAGTTTAGGCAGCATCTCACCTTATAACCTCAGCTGCTTCATATCACGTAGATTTACTCAGAGCCAGGACTTCTCCAGATGAACATTCCCACACTCATACTCATCTTCCTCTGACAAGGCTATAACTCAAGTTTGCGCTTGGACAGGTTTGGACTTATTGTTAGCAAGTTTAACCGCTGCACCCATCATACTGTCCTCACAAGCTTCCGTGTCTGAGTGCATGCGTGCGTGTGTGTGTGTGTGTGTGTGTGTGTGTGTGCAAACGAGAGAGGCGTGCAGCATGTCATAGTTCAACTTATTTATGTCTATTTCACAATAGAGCCTCAATTTAGATCATCAATTTTAAGTTATGGAGCAGGAGGAAAAGACAATGAAGATTTGATAAAGCCTTAAATCTTCAATACTTGTTTGTTTGGTATATCGGTCGTCTTTAAGGCTCAAGGACATCTTGTACTTTAGTAAAAGCACACCTAATGTCATTACATTTTACAGTAAAAATTAGCAGGGTTTCCAGCTAGGGAGTTGTTTTATTGGGGAGGAAAATATTAATGTACTTTTATGAAATGCTGAAACTGGCATCACATCAGACAGACCAATTTGCAAATGCCTTCGCCATCCTAAGAAAAAAAAATATCGTGAGCAGGAGGGTGACTAACAGGTGAACCTAGTGTAGAATTTAGCAGCTGAAGAACCAGATATTTCCCTCAGGTGTTGGGTGGAGACCAAAAACAGAGCTAAAAGGAGCATGAATACTCATCATGAATACTCAGTACTTGTGTACTCATCAGGTGGCCAGAATCCAAATGAATGCTTATGTTGCTCTGAAACTTTTTTTAATTTTATTTACAGCTTGTTTCCAAAGACCAAAATGGCCAGAAAAATCAATTATTGCAGTACAGTATAAAAGTCTGCACTGCAATTTAAAAGGTAAAAAAAAAGCACGGTTTTATTGTGAAGGTGGGCCATCTCACCTTAAAAGAAGGCCACCTCTGCCCCCATCCTAAAAATATTATAAACGTTCCCGCAGCTCTGTGTAAAGAGGCAACTGATTGGTAACAATTTCCTGGGGTAAACCTTGTAGTAGGTATTGGTATTAGTGTATTTGCAAATACCTTAACAGATATACTTTCAACTCAAAGTTTGAGATTACACAATTTCTTTGTCTTAGCTCATCGTGGCATCTACTGCAAAGGCACTACACCTCATTCATTGTTCGGATTGAACTGTAAAGTTAGTGTGTTTTGAATATTCAAACATTCTTACAGCTCCTTTCATGTTTCAGATTTCTACATTGAGCTGCTAGACATTGATTGCATTGAATTGAAAAGCTACAAGGTCTTAGGTAAATCTTAATATAGATTGTGATTTTGTGTCACTGTTTGGTTTTTCTGCGTCCCTCTGTCAAACGAAGTGACGTAGCATCACTCACCCAAGTGAAGCAAACACTGATAAGCTGTGGAATGTTTGTCTTATAGCTAATAACTCACCAGACTCTGTGGTGCCAAAACAAACAGAGGCTATATGCAGTTGGTCCGATGTAGAGGAGATACTGATGTAGTTTTGTGTTCTTCTCTACAAAACCCATAATGTAGGGTGGGAAATCATTGCCATACATGCAACAATGCAGTGTTTTTTTCCCTACTCACATGGGTGGCCCCCACACTGTTGAGCAGCATTATCAATCTTTCGTTTAATAATAAGCTCATGAGAATTCAACCAGGAGTTAAATTTTAACCATTTTACTCCTTTACATCACCTGACAGCTCCAACATGCAAAACGTACCTATAAATCAGTCAGATTAGGTGGATTTTCCCCTTCAAAGCACCCAAAAATCTTTAATTGGGATTTTGTTGTTGTTTATTCTTATAGAAAATGTCCTATAATGAGTAATGATGATAGTATACAGATGGAAACCACCGCAGTATTGATTTTCTGGAAGGAGCTGTATGATTCAGTGTGACTCATTTTCTTAGCTGAAGTCTGAATATTTTTAAGTTTGTTTTTTTTCGCCACAGGTTGTTCATTAACTACGTGTATAGAAGGTCAGCATTTGGCATATTGTATACTTGCAAAATGACATGACAATATTATATGTCATTTATTAACAAGCTTTTGGATAAATAAAAGCATCTGTCAAGTGTTGTTTTACAGATATGCTTTGCAGAAAAGACTGTAGGAAGAAAACTCAGACACCACCTGTGGTACATGTTTACTCTGACATTATAACGCTGCAGGGGAAACAGAAATGTATTAAAATCTCCATTACTTAAAAAATTACACCTGATACAGTTTTTTATACATCTTACAAGGCTGAAGTCATACTGTTGTCAACCATATAGGGCATTTACTCATTTGACTGCTACATGTTTACATAATGCAGATTATCCCCTGAACTGCCTGAGAATGTTTGATTAGGGGCTGAGAGCCAACAAGTAGCTGGATTAATACATTTAGACAAAAGTTGTGGCTTTTCGGCTGTGTGGAAACAGAGTGTTTTTTAAAACTGACAATTCAATCTGATTAACTGGGGGACTTTGTATCCGTTAGTAACAATGAACTAGGAGGAGTGTGTGCTCTTAAGGAAGGAAAAGCAGAGCGTTTGTTCAGCAAAACACTATTGCACAGCATTCCCTGCTATAGCCCAGGTTTCCACTGAAAGGAAAGGGAGGGTCCCAGTAGAGAATTGGGGGAAATGTTTAACGCAGCAGACAGATATGTTGCCGTATATCAGATCAGGATGTGAGCAACAGATAGGGTGTAGCTTTAGCCCCTTATTCAGGGTCTGGCCTAGAGAGCTTATTCTAATAAAACGTGTTGTCATAAATGTTCCACTGGAGGGCAGACCACCCGCAAAAAATGGTCCTTTTTTGCAAGGAGGTTGGATGAAGTTCTAACAGGCTGCAAATCCTTTACTGTCTGACTGCTCAGGAATGCTGTCTTAAATAGCAGGATAGTACTATCCCACTATTGAAATGTTAATCTAAACACAATACAACACAAGTGTCTATTCCATGTAGGATTTATCCTGCATGCAGAGTTCATTAAATAAAATTTTGTCATTAAAAAAGTTCCGATTGTATATATATGTAACACAAGCCTTTTGACATATCCAGTTTGGATTAGATTATTGTTGTCTTACTCTGAGTTGATGTACTGCACCTAAAGCCACGCTAGCTATGGCTATAGCGATAGCAATGTTGGTCAGTCTGTCCAGCAACTAGTTGAAACTGGGTTCTCTGTGCATCTCCAGGCAATAAACAGCTGAATCCAGTTCTTCACAACTGTGAGGTTGACAATAGTGGTTAAGAGTGAAATTTCTTGATGACTACTGGATGGATTGTTATAAATTGTATATTTTATGTATTATGTATTTTTGAGTGCTGATTAACGAATGTTAACATGCTAAGACACTAGCTACGATGGTGAACATGGTAAACATTATACCTGCTAAACATCAGCATGCCAGCATTATCATTGTGAGCATGTTAACATGCTGACAATAGCACCGCCTCACTGTGTAAGTGTGTAAGTACAGCTAGCATGGCTGACTATAGAAAAACAGCATTTTATCAGATTAACAGCCATGTGATTTAAAAATGTCATTATTAATGTTAATTAGTTTTAATAAGCTCCAAGACCACGATGCTTGGTAAACCTATGTAAGCCTGCTTCATTACTGAAAACATTATTGCCCCAAGATGTAGCCCAAGACTATGATACTGTAGTGACACTGCACTACTGACACTATAGTTAATTATACTGTCCCAAAGTCCAAAGTGACCTCTTCAAATTGCCAACAATCCAAAACCCATATATATACAGTTAAGTATTAAATCCTCGTATATAAGTAGATGGAACCAGTGAATTCTAAGCTTTTTTGCTTGAAAAATTACTGACACAATGAATCAATTATCAAAATTGTTGCCGATTATTTTTTTAATTTCTAAAACCAACTAACCAGTAAATCATACTAACTCTAATGGTCTCACGTTAGGAGTCAACAGAATTTTCCAGGGGAAATCTAGCAAGAATTCAAATCACTGTAGCTGTCGTACATTCATGTATTTTTCAGTAAATTTCTTTCCACTTTTTGGACATCCTGACGCTTTTTTTTCTCCCAGTTAGAGTAATTGTGCCTCACGGTGCACACGAGTGTTGAAAGAGATCAGCTTCTCTCAGCAGCGATGCAGGAGTATTTTCTGTCCATGTAACAGACAGTCAGCCCGTGTCTATGTGGTGTCTGTCTGCTTCTATCTTGAGTAACTGGCTCTTTAAGGGAACAGCACTCAAAGGTAACAGCTATGAGATCATCGGCTTGCGTCGTCATGGCAACAAAGGCTGTTGCAGCACTACTGAGAAATAAAATGGCTGGCGTGGTGTCGCTCTCCCCTCCTCCTCCTCCTCCTCCTCACCCCTCCTTCCCTTCCTCTCCTCTTTCTCTCTGGTATCAGTGAACTGGAGCAGATTGGTTGTGACACCCCCCCCCCCCCCATGCCCCATCCTGCCCTCTCACTTTGCTCCTTATTCTGTCCCTCCAACCGTCCATTCACACTCCACACATGTGAGTCAGCAGGAGTCTGCAGCTAGCAGGGGGCTGCCACTCTGGACATGATTAAGGTGATGCTTTGGGTTTTTCTTTTTCATTGACAGCTCCACACAACCTAGTTATTGAATCAACTGGTGGAAAGCACTGATGAGGAAGACACAAATCAGCACCTTTCCAAATGATTCCCTTTGGTTGTGAGACACCAAAAGAGGCAGGATGGTGGTTTAAGGGGCCCCTCATCTTTCTAGAGCAGAGCTAGTAAGACAGAGCGGGTGAGGGAACAGGAGAGGATGGACGGTGAGGATGGAAATTTTGCCAAAGATACAGAGCCTGAGCTATTCCCTGGACATCATCTGAGGGCTGAATATTTTTATTTCATTCTTGTGTGTGTGCGTGTGTTTCGAGCTGTTGATATTTGCTCTCCTCTCTGCCTTATGCATGTCCTCGATCTCGCTCCCTCTCTCTCTCTCCCTCTCTCTCTCTCTCTCTCTCTTGCATCCTCCCCTCCCCTCAGCCTCAATCACCCAGACACAGACGCATGCATGCTCACGCAGAATTGCACGCAGCAGGCGGATGCGCGCATACACACTTTCTCTCACACACACACACACACACACACACACTCACACACCACACACACACACACACACAAATACACACACACACACACACACACATACACGTATACACACACACATACTCACACACCCTTCCTGGAGGTGCTGGGAGCAGCTGCAGCATTAGCGTTGAAAGAGATTTGCCGTTGACTGGAGTTTGCATCCCCCCCGTTAATGAATGGATGCTACGGCGATAGGCTCCGGAGCTTCTTCCGTTGGATTGCGGGAAACGGTGGATATCTATTCTTGAATTTATTTATTTATTTCTTTGCTCTCCATTTTTTTCTCCCCACCCTCTCCTGGTGTGCTGTTGTCGAAAGGACGATGGGGTCTTGTGCTTGATCGGATAAAGATGGAGGTGAACGTGGCGTCTCCGGTGCTTGGCATACTATTGAGGTTTCACTGCCCATTAGGGTGAATGGAGCTTTTATTTCCGTTTTTTTTTTTAAGTGGGCTCTTTTGTTTTCCGTGGATCGGCTGAGCACTCCTGTGGTGAATTGGGCTATTGTCGAAGACTGGGCCTCTTAAGCTTTGAATCTTTGACTGTCCATCCATCCCCTCCCTTCCTTCCCCTGTTACCTTCTACTCAAAAGGAACAAGCGGATCCCTAAACCTCCACTGAAATCTCTCCTCACCGTCTTCCTTGCTTCCAATGCCCCATTTCCCTCATCTCTACCCCTGCCCCCCCACCTCTCTCCTGCTCCCTCCTCCCACATCAGAGCGGCTACGTAATGTGCCTCCCTACGCATGCAAATGGGGATGCTACAAATGGTGGCTGGGACTGATGCCGATGAAAGGGTGATGCCTCGCGCAATCACCTGCACCTCCGCCGCTGCTGCCATCGCTCCAGATCAGCCTGGGAGAGCCCAGCAGCCGATGACAACCAGCCACAGTGCGAACACAGTCGTTTGTAGCTTGCTCGTGGATGTAAATGAGACGTGTGTATGTGTGTGAAGGTGCACACCGGTTCCTGCCATGTCTGGTGTGTGATCGCTCTAGCGGGACGTTCTTACTGATGCGGGGGAGGCACTGAGCCTGAGGTTGGCCGACCTCCCCCTGCACACCCCCCCTTTCCCATCTCCCTCCTTCCTTCCCTCCTCCCCATTCCATCACTCTCCCTCCTTTTATCCCAGAAGCCCATGGGGGTGAAGGCCACCTGGTAAAGGGGTCACGATGAAGAAGAACCGCAGCAGCAATCTGCGACGGGCCTGGCCCAGCTCGGAGCTTACCGAACGCCCGCTGGAGCACAATCTCTCCCGTAGTGAGAAAGACATCCATGTGCAGAAGCAGCATCTTCCTCCCCCTCCTCCTCCTCATTTCTCTCCGTCCCCGCCAAGTTATCGTGCGCCAGGTGAGTGTGATACTCCCACCAACAGTGGCTCCACCCTCTCTCTATGCAGACCTGCTCGGAGTTAGCAGACACAGCTTGATTTGTGAGCAAAGGGCAGAGTACAAAGTGGACGATGTTTTTATGTTATCAAGTAGGAAATTATAACTTTTCATTTTCATTCTTTCTCTAATATATATCAAATGAGGTCAAATAGAAATAGATTTTAAATGATTCAAGCTAAAGCTTTCTATTATTATAGGCCCTATTAGACACTCATTTATTCTTGTTTTAAAAGTCATAAAACTATATCTCAGTGGGTCCAAATCTCTGTAACTTTCTGACTTCTTGACATATTTTAACATCTCCATATTTAATGACCCATATTTGAAAATATGAATAAAACAATCAATTTTGTACCATTTAAATGTTTTTTTTAATTCATATTTTCCTGAACACCCAAACGTTCAGTCAGATTACAAAAGGGCTTTCAAACTAATGTCTCTAGATAGAAAATCAAATCCTTTCAGTCCCTTTTATTATAAATATTTGCTTATTTTTATGCTGCTGTCTTTCTTGCTTCACTGAAAGATGTGAAACATAAATACTACAACCTCATTCCCACACCCCTCAGAGATTTGCTCTGTGTACACCTTACCAAAAAAAAAATGAAGTTCTATTAAAGCACAAGACATATAGATTTTTTATTTTTGTGGACCAATTTACCAGATCCTTCTTTTTTCACGTTTACTAAAAACCCATAAAGCCGTGTAAAGCCACATAAAGCTTAAGGGGCTGTGATACTAAGCAGAGATAACGTCATCGTGTTGCTTAACTGACCATTCAGCTGAGTGTGGTGAGGAGGCAGGGCCCTGCACAGATTTCAGCTCAGCCGAAAGAAGTGTGGACAGCGAATGATAACAAAACTTTAAAACACTTATCAGTGAGGCAACAAATATTCTGTTGGTCATGGAGACATAATGTTAGGTTAGAAATCTCGTGTGATTCTCTACTAATCACCAGATTTAGGTTAGAAGACAGAGTCAGCTACAGCACCGACGCTGCAGTGGTGTTGCTTTACAACCTTTCAGCAGGGCAGATGTTTGCTCTCAGAGCGGCTTGATGCAGGGCCGTCTGGTTGTAGGATGATCTCACTACTCACTACTGCCGACAGCAAAGCCAGCTTAATTCAACAAAGGCAACAATTCTGTGTGTAAGCTCTCAATGTCAGTTATATTTTGTAAAATTTTTAAATACGTTGGCATTCTGAAGGATTGCATAAGCTCCCCTTTTCTGTTTGTGAGATGATGTGAATGGAATAACGAGGTTGCAAAGACCCAGGTGATCTCACGCTACGGTTGCTGCAGCAGCTGCCTCGCTTTGCTTACCTATGAGAAACAGGAGGAATGAGAGGCTGAACGAGGCACAGAGAGGAGGGGTGGAGCTGTTCCAGGCAGCATGCAAACTGCTGCTGTTTGACCATTACATCATAGCTTCACACGCTGTTCATTCATGATCTCACAGTTGTGCTTGTGCCGCCTCATCCTCCTCCTCTCTCTCCTCCTGCAGGTGACGTGTCTCCGATCAGTATGTCACCTATCAGCCAGTCACAGTTCATTCCGCTGGGGGAGATCTTGTGCCTGGCCATCTCTGCTATGAACTCTGCCCACAAGCCTGTCAACCAGGAGGCTCTGGTGGAGCACCTCACTGCCAGCTTCCCAGGTACGCTCCTCTGACCTGGTTCTTAAAATGGGACTGCACTAAAGCATGCAGTGAGTGATTTTTAAATACAACATGTGGCACATTTTCTGTAAAAACAAAAGTAGAAATGTTGATGATATACACCTGTGTCTCTGCCATACCTTGTCTTCTGATTTGTTGCTTAAGAACATCCTCTCAACTACAATTTCCAAGCGAAAATTTCACACACATCTAACATGTTAAGTTATCTGTTCATCTCTGACTGAAGTGATCTGACACATTTCATAGATTAAATTGAGAATTTAGATATTTCACCCTGGAAAATCAGGAATACATCTGAAACAGTTGGTCAATTAAGCGATTAGTCAATCAACAGAAAATTCATCATGATATTTATATAAAAATTGTAATTTTTCAGGCAAAATGCCACAAATTCTCTGGTGCCAGCCTCGCAGATGTGAGAATTTGCTGATCCTGTGACTGTCGTTTGGACAAAATAAAACATTTGAAGACATCACCCTGGGCTCTGGGAAATTCTGGCAAAAATTTTTCACTATTTTCTGACAAACTTAAATCCATAATTATTCCTAAAAATGTTGGTAAGACAGGCCTAAAATGTTCTAAAACATAGCTCCCTGTCCCATCCTCTTCTCTGAATGTTTTTGGTTCTCTATACAAGTGACACACATACACACACACAGTATATACATACTTATTTACAGTATCTCACAAAAGTGAGTACACCCCTCACATTTTTGTAAATATTTGATTATATTTTTTCACGTGACAACACTGAAGCAATGACGGTTTGCTACAGTGTAAATTTTTGAGTGTACAGCTCATATGTCTATTTCCCAAAGACAACCTCTGGATAGGATGCTGAGCATGTGCACTCAATTTCTTTGGTCGACCATGGCGAGGCCTGTCCTGTTGAACCGCTGTATGTTCTTGGCCACTATGCTGCAGCTCAGTTTGAGGGTTTTGACAATCTTGTTATAGCCTAGTCCTTCTAGACCATCGAGCAACCATTCTTTTATTCAGATCCTCAGAGTTCTTTGCCATGAGGTGCCATGTTGAACTTCCAGTGACCAGTATGAGGGAGTGTAAGAGTGACAACACCAAATTTAACACACCTGTTCCCCATTCACACCAGAGAGCTTGTAACACTAACGAGGCACATGACACCGGGGTAGGGAAAATGCCTAATTGGGCCCAATTTGGACATTTTCATTCAGGGGTGTCCTCACTTTTGTTGCCAGCGGTTTAGACATTAATGGCTATGTGATGTGTTATTTTGAGGGGACAACAAACAGACCAGTATTAATTGTTAAACCTGAATTCGGTGACAGCATTTTATATTGTTACAAATTATTATCTCATCTTATTATTATCTTATCTCTCCTTAAGAAATTTTCTTTTTGACTGTCTCCAGATTGTTGCAATGCTCCAACAAAAGTTTACAGTGTTGTTTATTTAATGTTTGAATATACTCATTTTTTGAATAGTATAGTAATTTTCTTCCTTATTAGAATTTGTAAAGCAATTAAATACAGGATTAGTCCTAATATTGGTGAAACAAGCCTAAAAATGTATTAAAAAGGTGTATTAAAAGGTTTAAAAGCACAGGTTTAACCAGCATGTAACCAAGTTGGTAGTCAAATTTAATGAGAAGTATGTCTTTGAAATTCATCTTTACTTCTATACAATGCCAGAGTGGAAAGGAGTTGAACTTATAGGTTGCATCATTTCTGTGTAAAAAAAACAACAACTGATGTAATGTTAGGCAACACAAGGCCTTCCTAGACAAGGGTTATGAGTAGTGATGTTCAAAATGGACTACTTTTAATGTTTATTTGGTAAAAAGAGGTGATTGATGGTGCTTTGCACCCTAATTAAATATCATCATATGGTAGGAGTCATCTGGTAATGAGAGTGTTTACTTGTTTTTTTTTTATTAATCTAAGATTGTGTTTGGTATCAGTATGTTAGTTGATGTACAAGTCATGGACATTCCTTAAAATGCATGGATTTGTGAGAGCTGAGAAATGGGTTGATTTAAGAAAAGTTAGGTTAGTCAACAAAAGAGAAATAAATGTCCATTTGATGCTTTTCAAAGGCACAGAAAGACCTGTGATCATTTTAATAATTTCCTACAGGATTTAATAAAAACTTTTTTTAGATAAAAAACCTAAATAGAACATTAAAATAAACGGCTGTTAAAACTGATGTTCCCACCTTACAAATTCATGTTGTGTGTTATCAAGGAAAATTCAAACAAGTTTCAAGGCAAATAATTTAATGTTCTATTTTATAGATTAGTTTAAATTCTAGTGAGATAGTTTTTCCGGAGACACTGAATCAAGCTGCATTTTAGATAAACAATATCTACAATATCTGTATTTGACTTAATAGTGCATCCATGAAAAACATATATTTATATATAACATATATATTTACTTATATTTGAAAATTTAACTCAACATAAGCATTATATATCATAGCTTGAATGATATGTTGGGATAAGAAGATGCAGAATAAATGCGAGATACTGTCATGCTGTGTGTTGTTTTTCACAGTATTTTTATTTAAAAAAATACAGAATCAATTAACTATTTTTTATTTTAAAAATATGATGGGAAACTTAAGGGGAAAAGGTAAAACTTCAGTTTAGTTGTTCATCAGAATAAAAAAAAAAAGTTTCAATTATACTCTGAAATATAGAAATATCTCAGATCATCCTCACCTAGTACCATCTTTCACTGCTAATTTTTAGTCAGAGTTAATATGCCTCTGATGTGATACCAGATTAAAATTTTAATTGGTGTGTAAACTTGCATTGGTTGACTGAAACATCTTGCAAGTGCCACTTTTCTTTCATGTTGTTATCTTATCTCTCCCTGACAAGCCTTTTTTTTTTTTTTACCTCATCATGATTTGCTAACAGCAATTCTCACATCGCTTAAGACAAAGGATCCTGTCTTGCACAAACTTCAACTGAAATTTAAAAAACTGTGCTTCAACTTTGTCCGATATATGTTCCCTGCAGGCGTGCCTACACCCAGCTCAGATGTTCTGCGACATACCCTGAACATGCTGGTGCGAGAGAGGAAGATCTACCCAACTCCAGAGGGCTACTTCATTGTCACCCCCCAGACCTACTATATCACTCCTTCCCTCATCAGAACCAACAACAAGTGGTATCACCTTGATGATCGGCTGCCAGAGCGCCAAACGCAACAGTCGCAGCAGCAGCAGCAGCAGCAGCAGCAGCAGCAATCTCAGCAATGCACTTCGCCTCAATCTGGCAACGTCACACCATCCACACCTGGCTGCCTGAGAGAGAGGCCTCCTCGGAAGAATCACAGTGAGTCATACAACTCCTATCGCGAGGACCCACCCAGACTTCACACCTCCGCTCTCCAAAGTAAGTCACCAAAGGAGCACAGGGGAGATTCTTACCAAACTAAGCCGCCCAAGGATCACAACAGTGGGGAACCACCACCAAGCACGTCTGCCAAGGAGCACCGAGGGGAACCGCCATCATACCCCTATCCCCCTCTTCCCACTTCCCCTGCTGTCCAGCAACCTCCGCCTCAAGATCCCACAGAAAAGAACAAAAACATCACTTCTTTCCCTTATAAAACTGACACTCTGACCAAAAAGAAAGAAGGAAGTGGTGCTGTAAGTGGCGAGAAGCAATCCAAAAGGTTTGGTCTCAGGCTCTTTAGGCTGAGTTTCAAGAAGGACAAAATGAGGCAACTGGCCACCTTCTCAGCCCAGTTCCCCCCTGAGGAGTGGCCTCTTCGTGATGAAGATGTGCCAACCACTCCTATTCCCCGTGAAGTAGAGATGGAGATAATCCGCAGAATCAACCCCGACCTAACAGTAGAGAATGTGGCAAGGCACACGGCTGTGATGAAGAGGCTGGAGGAAGAGCGTACCCAGAAGAACAAGGCAGGGTCTTCAGCCCAGCACAGTGCACGCAGCAGGAGGGGGAGGGGCCACAGGAGGGCCCCACATGGTAAGTCCCGCTCACACAGCAAGCCCCGAACCTCCAGGGGAGACCCGTCTGAGGGTTCAAACTGGGACCTTTTGTTCATGGAAAGGGATTACCGCTTCTTTAGCCACTCGTTAGTACGCTCGCCTAGGGAGGCCATGTACACCTTGGAGCGCAGGCGAAGTGGAGGTGCAACATACCTGGTCCATAGCAACCCCAACATTACTGAATCTTACTGCCCTGTTACCCCTGAGTGGGACGTGTCTGGAGAGTTAGCCAAGAGACGGACTGAGATGCCCTTCCCAGAGCCGTCGCGCGGGACTTGCCAGTCCAGAGTGCAAAGAAGTCACAGTCACAATCAGGACAGGAAGTCACGTCATGAGAGGTCAGACCAAGCGAAGGAACGCTCTCGGTCCATGGACAACTCCCTCAAGGGCCCGACACTGGGGGCGCCAGAAGACTTTGAACCCAGTCTGGAGGAACGTAGTCATTACTACACCGATGACGGCACTCTACGTGCCACGCAGAAGTCCTCCCACTACTCAAGGATCATGTTCTCTGCTGCTAAGTTCCACTCTGATTTTAATGTGCCTGATTTGGGGAAAGGGAGTTTGGACGAGTCCAGGATCCGGAGTACGATGGAGAGGAACAAAAGCAGAGACAGCTTGCCTACATACAATGAGCTAATGGGACTTTCTCCTAAGCCCTCAACAGATGAGTACTTCCAGTGCAATACATCAAATGAAACAATCCTAACTGCCCCTTCGCCTCAGGCAAAATCAGAATATGACACATTAACCTCATCAGGGGGACTCCGAAAGGGCTCTCCGGCTGACCGCCAAACGCCTCACCTCACCTCTCCTCATACGATGGAGTACAAAGAGGACTTGTCGGCAGCAAAGGGACAGAACGGCTCAGTGCGAATGACGCCAAGCCAGACGCCGGAGCCGGTACAAAATGCCCGTTTGACGCCACACCAACACAATGTAGATCCCGGAGGGGGAGGAGGCGGTATGGTGATCAAGAGGAAAGAGATCTTCAGCAAGGACACTTTGTTCAAACCTCCACACAATGCCTTGTCCACAGGCTACGTGGACAGCAGCTACACCAAGTCCGGCACATTGCGGAAAGCCTCACATGCCAAATCGACCGAGGCCCTAGACAATCCTGAGCCCCAGCAGCCTTCCAATTCAGCCGCTTCCTCAGCGTCACCTGCAGTTTTACAGGGCTGCTTAGAGCCAACAGTCCCCTCCGCCTCCTTTGACTATTATAATGTATCAGATGATGAGGAAGAGGAAGAGGCAGAGGAGGACTCGCACAAAGAGTTGGCTAAGGCAGAGGACAACAAAGACCACGGGGAAGGGGGTGGTAATGGTGGAGGCAGTGGTGGTGGTGGGGAGGGAACCATGCAGTGGCTACTGGAGCGGGAAAAGGACCACGATCTGCAGCGGAAACTGGAGACCAATCTGACCTTACTCAGCCCCAAGGAGACAGACAACAGCAACAGCCAGAAGTCGGCCCACTCTGCCCGTTTGGACAGCATGGACAGCAGCAGTGTCACGGTGGATAGTGGATTCAACTCTCCCAGGTATGTGCTGAAATGAACTGTACATGTGTATTATCACTTCCAACTATTCAAACTGTTTGCTCTTAAAATGTCTCTTAACATTATTGGTAAAGTGCGGTAGGTAAACTCAAGTAGAACACAGTGGGATTTTATGTAAGATAATGTAAGTAACAATCACTCAAAATCAAAGAAGAAATAGCTAAAAGCTTTGGCCTAAGAATGATGTATGGCCGAATAACCTTTTTATTTTGAAAATACAAAAAAAGCCTTTACTCAGGGTCCACTTACTAGATTTTTTTTGAGCCTACAGCTACATCTCATAGTTTTTCCTCGGTGCTTTGCTCAGTTGTCATCACATGACCAAAGTATGGAAGCCGGTTGCTATTATTCTCATACTATTATCATGTTATCGTGCACTCTCATGAATGTAAACTTAGCAGGATATGTAACCTAAGAGATAATGCACTTAACTATCACATAGAATTATATAGCTCCCAGGTCAATGCGTTTACAATCAAATTCAAGCTTTGACTTTGTAGCTACACTGTGGCCATTTTATTAGATACCACGGTACCTATTCAATCCAATACAAAAACAGCCATGCCTTAACAACTATCTTTAAAAAACTTAATTTGTTCAGTTTTTGGTGACATTGTCAGAAATGTGCAAATTCAATAATGTTTATCACCGAGGTTAAATTACATTAGACTGAACAGGTGTATATTCTATATTTATATTAAATATAAGTTTCCGCAATATGTTGATGCTATTAAATTAGATATAAATGTTTGTTATACAGTGTGAAGGACCAGTTTCTCGCTTTAACAACAGTCTAGTAACATTTTTGAGAGAATCCACCTAACACTGGACAAATCTTGGTTTCGATTAGAGGTGTTCTGTGGGGTTAGCTGATCATGTGTAAAGCACACAATTAACTTTGACATTTATTTGTTTCACAGATTCTGACTTATTTTCTTACAGTCTTTGCAGATTTTAGCATTACCACTAGTTCCATTCTAAACAATAAATACCTTGATAGTATTCCAATAATTTATTTATTATATGAATGCTGTTGGTTGGTGTACGAATAACTGGAATGGTATTTAAAGCAACTTGGCAATTGGATCACACAGCTGTTACACTGCAGTATCATTGCTGTATTTCCTTCACCTTGAAGGAAACAACTGGCTTACTAACCTTGGGAAGTGACTGTACAACAGATTATACCAGATGGTGTTAAGATCCATTTTTGTTTCAACTTTAGATGAAACAGACAGTAAATGTAATAACAAGCAACTAATTTACATGTTATGTGAAGCAAATGACAAATAGATTTTAAAAAACATGGGAGGATTTCAACTTTATATAAACAACTGAAAACATCTGTTTGTCAGACAAACAAATGTACTAGCTTGGAAGCTATTTCAGCTCCTTGAGTGGAAAATGAATGCAGTGCAGCAGTTTAACATTGGTGAATTACCTGTGAACCATCCAAGCATGATTTAGTAGACCAGAAGGGGTTATCCACAAATGTAATATTGCAGTTCCAAGTTGTTGGACTTATGAGAGACATTCTAAAAAAAGAGTAGTCTAAATCAAAGCAGCAGAGTCCGATATAGCCTGACTTGTACTGCCTAGTATGGGTTAAGCTCAAAAACCACTGGTTCCCACACTTCCCATAATTCATCTCAATAGCATCTGTCATTACACCTTCCTACCTGTTACAAACCCTTGTCTTTCAAACATCACAACCCCAGTTGTTAACACTCTATCAAAAAATTCATTCTGAGATTTAAGAAAAACTGATGACATCATCTGGGTTATTTTTTCAGATTTCAGAAACCTTCTTTCAGAGCCACAGAAGACATCATTCAACTGTTTTCACAAGCTGATCTTCACGTGTAAAGTTTAATATATATTATAAATGCTATATATGTAGGCTCCTGAGAAAGAGTAGTCATTGTACTCTTTAGACACATATTTGGCTTGAATATATGAGGAGTAAATAATGTAGTATTAGCAATTACATACCACATATTGAACATGTGCCACTTATTTATAATGTTTTATATAACTATGATTTAATTCATTATCAATTCTTCAAATGGCTAAGGCTTGTACTTTAGATTTGTTTATGTCTATTTTTAGGATTTTTACTGTATTTATTTATTTTTCATCTTGTGTGCATACAAGATAAAAAATACTTTTGCGCCATACTTTTGTGCTTATTTGTAAAACATTTTTAATGAAGGTGACCCTTCCCTTTCCTAGAAGGTAGGGCTGAACAATTAATCAAAATTTTATGGAGATAACAATACTATGGCCTACTGCAATTTTCAAATCATAGGAGGCGCAATATTTGTTAAAGGTGATATGTGTGCCAAACTACCATCTTAAATTAAATATTGTCATGCTACAGATATCCTGGCCTACACATCATATTCTACAGACTTACATCTTTGTTTGATACAGATCATTTTAATATTTATTTTAATGAAAATGAGAATAATGATGTAAGTAATGATCATTCCCCCTAGTATCGCAAATCATTAAGCAACTGCAATATCAGTCAAAATAATCGCGATTTGATTTTTTTAAATTTCAAAATCCTTCAGCCCTACTTGAAGGAATATGCTGCTTTTATTGTTATTAACTACAATCTATTTGCGTTTTTCTTTCTCAATGTGTGCAAAATATGCTTTAAAATAGTTTGTATTTTGGTAGTATTCCTCTTTGTGGCCAAGCACCACTTACTCAATAGTATGTACAATTTTATTGGATATTTTGATTCATAGTGTATTTCGAAACCAAGCACTTGACTTATGTTGTTTCTTGTGCAGGACGCGTGAAAGCCTTGCATCCAACACATCCAGCATTGTGGAAAGCAATAGACGTCAGAATCCAGCGCTGAGCCCCGGCCACATTGGCACCAGTAGTATCGGACTGCCATTCAGCTTTCGCGCCATCCCAGAACCCCCCACCACACAGCCTGAGAAACTCCAGAAGTCATCGAACTGCCTGGCCTCCATCACCAGCGTCTGATAGGCAGCACAGACTGAGAGCCTGAAGGTGGTGGAGGAGAGACGAAGTGAGGTGTTTCACCATTTTGACCCTCGCTTTCCTCAACCAATACACACACATACACACGCACACACATAAACACACACATCAGACTCCTGAGAATCCATTTACTGGGACTGTTACAAAAACAGGCATGGCTTCAAGAGACTGTTCCCACAGCTTCAAGAACTTTACTGCAAAAAAAGAGAAGAAAAACTACAGAATATCAAGACCACTGTAGGTGAAGAAACCTACCTGAAGTACTTTGATTTTGGTTGACATGGACTCTAGTTTGGCTTATATCAAGATTCTTGACTATTGGTATTGGAAAGTAGTAGACTATAGGATTCAAGTTACATTTGGAAATATCAAAAACTTTTTATATTACTTAACAATACATGTCCAATTAAATGTTCTCCTTCCTGAAATAGCGTCAAGTTATTCAGGACGATTCAATGTATCAGCACAATGTCGAGACAATAAAAGTTGATCCTGAGAACAATGAATGAAAGATATAAAAACACAAATCAGTTCAGATTTGTGTACCGCAATGCAAATTATGTATGTATACTCGATACTTTTGATATCCTAATTATTATAATGGTGGTATTAAAGATGCTATGTGACCAAAAAAATGATGTTTGGACAAAATGAGCTGCACACTCACCCTCACAAACATACTTCACACTTCTCACCACAAGGTTCATCTAGTATCCGATCTGGAGCTTTCAACCGTGTCACATGGTCTTCTTCAGCAGGTGGGATTGGCCAAGTTGTCAGGGAATTGTAGATGTTGAAATTTCCATTTTCTGTGCACTTTAAGGACTTTTGTTGTCCATGTTAGCTTAAAATGTAAGCTTGAGCTAAATAATTTGTTCTTAGGTATGGAAACTGCAGTTGAAAAGACAATCTTACCACAAGGTCAATTTGTAGATGTTCTGGAGCTCAATTATATTACGTGATCTTCCTCAGCAGATGAAGTATGCCCAGTCATTGTCATTAAATTGTAGATTTTATAGCTAGTTTCGTCAACTACTGTTTCCAACAAAAGTCATGAATTAACTTTTCAGTCTCATCGCAGTTACCACTTTATTAGGAGGAAATTATTTGAAATTATTACATTAGAGACTAGGGTAGATACCATTAGGAGCAAGTGAGAAAATATGTTTCTAACTTGGGTGAAATGGGCCTTAAGTTTGGCCTGAACATGCAGTGATGGTTACAGCGTTCTGACTGCAGTTCTCTGTATGAACTGTAGATGGAGCCAAAGTTAAAACACTGGCGCAGATCTCTCCAACTCTCCAAAATGTACACTGCTCAGGCAAACAGTGAAAGTACAGGCTGACCAAGTGCGCCTGACCCAGTCCTACAATAGATGGTGTTAATCCAACATCTACAACACAATCACCACAGAGCCTTTCTCTTTTAATAAACGTTCAAATTAAAGGTATTGTTTCACCGTAAAATAGGCATTCATGAGTTTTACACATGTTCAATCAATGTTCTGTATTCATCTCAGAGAAGCTCAAGCTAACATAAAAACCCTACAACCATTTATTTTAAGTAAAAGCACTTAAAAAAAATGACTTTTGGGAAATGGTTAAAGATTCATTTCAGAGCACTGACCTTTAAGAAAAGCTTATTACTGAGCGCCCTCTGGTGATTAACTGGTTGTATAACAGTGGCAGCAAACAGCTGGAGGTTTGTTTCACCAAACGTGTGACAGCTGAAGCTCATCAACTGATCTTATAAAGGTAAGTGGCTTATCCTCAAGATACCACCAAGCTGTGGCGTTAAAAAATGGGTCAAAAGTAAAATGTCTGTAAAGCAAGATTACTGTTTTTACTAGCCTAAAATGATTAAAGCCTTGATGCATATTGAAATGTTTCTCTTATTTCACTCATAATTATAATTCTTGACTCACTCTAGTACCTCACTTGGTGTATCATAATGCCTACACCATTGTCATTCTAAACATTTTCAGTGTTTAATTATAATCTTTAACGCTATCTCTATCCCTATTCAAACCCTATATAAATATGATACATTTAAAAAAAAGCAATTACAAATGTATGAATTAAATGTGCTTTGGCATGTGGCAGGAGTTGTGCTTGGGGTCAGATATCTTCGGTGGAGCAATCAGAGCTCCTGTTCTTGCTCTTTGTGTTAGACATTTAATTTTCAGCTGGCATTTGCCTACATGTCTTCAAATTACAGTTGCAGAATAATGTTAAACTGAACGCTGAATTGTGAGATGGAGTATGATAGGAAGACAAATGGGATAGCAGAAACTAAAACTTCAAAGTCACTAAATAATCTACCAGCAACCCTAAAACTCACCAATCAACACTATGTTTCTTTAAGTAAGTAAAAACTTTACTTTTCACTTCACTTTAGAGGTGTTCGTAGGCGGATCTTACTGTTGGTTGAAGCCAGGCTAACCGTTTCCCTGTTTACAGTCTTTATGCTAAGCTAAGCTATCCAGCTGCCGGCAGCAGCTTCATATGAAATGACATTAGACTGATATTAATTTTCTCATCTAACTCTCGGAAAGAAAGCAAATGGATTTTTAATTTATAAATTGATTATAATTTAACACTTACTAGTCGCACACGCCAGACTCCATAGAAGAACACATAACATGTGTGTAGAAGTAGAATAATAGATAAAGATGCTTTATAGTGAGAGAAACAATTAGTCTAACAAATACACTCAAACAGGCTTTAAGATTTTTTTGCATTGGCTTCTATTACTACACCTTTGCCATGGCTTGTGACATTGGTAACTATGGAATAAATTACAGCAAATTTTGTTTGCAAATAATGTGATCCATTATATACCACCAAATGTGCTTTCATAATATAAGTATCATGCAAAAGAAAACACTTGAATATAATTATATGCCAGGATTTGATTTATGGATCAATATTTGGCACTCGGCACAGTACTTGTTGTCTTGTCTAAACAGCTCAAACATGAATTAATTCACAAAAAATAACAATAATCCATAAAACACAGATGCGTGTAGTTTTTACCTGTGTGTATTTTAATGACTGATGCAGAGGATGTCATGTCAGTGTCTCTGAACTACACACACACAGGTGGAATGATAAAACAAAGACTACAGTGGATCAGGGTCACCTGGAGCTTGGCACGTACAGCAAACAATGATTCAACTTAAAAACATACACTTTACAGACATACACACACACACACACACACACACACACACACACACATTATTTCTCTATAAATCTTCTATAACACACACGTACACGTTTGCATTTAACACAGAAATGATGCAACCTGTGTGCACCTTGATATTCCTTCAACTTTACAGCACTTTGCTCTCCACGTTCCAAATATACAGAGGGGAAGTGTGTGTTCAGATATGTTTGGGAGAATGCACACAAATGAGGTGTGTATTTGTGGATGTGTACGAATGTGTGTATGTATCTCTGAGAGCAGCTACAAAAATGACACACAAACACACATGCACAATTGACTCTATCTCACACACATTTACATTTCCCATGTTTAGATTTTTTTTAACAATAAAACCATTCAACATCTCCAAACAAATGAAATCCGTTGCCAGAAAACCTTGAAAGCACTCCGCTAACACAAGACACCTGTGCAAGAGCATAGGAGCGACCTCCGATAGCATACATTTTGGTTCTAAGGCAATATTGTAGTTCCACAGGACTAGTGCTGTTGATGCAGAGTGCTGTTTGCACGCTGACTGTGTCTCCTATTGACAACCTTTACTTCCATCCACAGTCATCTGTCATTCAGTGTATTTTTATTTTTAGCACCATGGGAATCTCTCATTCAATCAGAATCGTTTCACTCCGAGAGACAGCTGTGAAAATATTCCCTTCTGGTATCCACTGAAAAAAAAAAAATCTCATGATTTTTTGGGAGAGTGAGTTGGTATTTGTTACAAGATGGTGCAAACTCAAAAACAGCACACACAACATAATGCAAGGCTTAACAATAACATCACAGATCATTTGGAAATTCACCATTTTCATTTTTTCCCTCCATTCCACAATGGTTGTCTGCATAAGCTTTAAGCAAAAAGGGCAAATGACGGACTTCAGCCTTTTGTTTTTTTATCTGTTCTCTGTACACACAGACACACATACAGTAAACACAATGGGTTTTACAATAAGACGTGAAATAAAAGCATCTGCAGCCGTTCTGAGCTGGGTTGAAGAGACCAGTTCCCAGGCATCAAAGGCAATAGAAATGTCTATTTAGAGTTTCCTCTCAGTTACTGTGGGTATAAGCAGCCGTCTGATCACAGTAAGTCGCACAGTTCAAGGATCAAGAAGTCAGAAAAGACTCAAAACTCCCTTGTTGAATGCTTTTTTCTTTTAGGTACAAGTTCCTTATTCCTGAAGCATCCATAGAATTAGAATTATGAATATGAATCTAGTGTGTTTGTGTGTGTGTGTTTGTTTGCATTTGTGAGTATCGCAGTAAACTGATTTTTGATCTTCAACATCCCTCTGTCCACAGTGAGGGTGTCTTGGTGTCCAGTAATGAAAACCATCTCCTTCACAAAAACGGCTCACTTGATAGTCAGCGTATTTCGCCACAAACTTTGAACTGATATCTCGTTGTTTTTCCCGTCTGATCTCAAAGTGCGATGACCCATGTGGAGCCACACAGGGAGACAAGTGTTCACCTAAGTATCATCTTCCTCACGTGGCAGTGGGTCCGAGAAGAAGGGACAGGCTGTACTTTTCAAAGGTCAGGGTAACAGTGGCAGGGGCTGCACAGAGGTCAGAGGTCACAGGCGTGTGTGAGGTCATTTCCTGGTGTGAAGGCTCTCCTGGAACTTGGTGCTCGTGTAGCGGATGTGGAAGCCCTTCTTGCTGATTGTATCGTCGCTATGGAAACGGATCAGCATTGCGCCTCCGGGTGAGTAAATCCCCTCCCTGGGCTAAGGAGGGGAAGATAGAGACACACGTGAAGCAGTATCTCAGACATTTAGTTTTTTGCATAATTTAGTCCATTAACTACAACTCAAATATTCTTTACATCATAGTGTGTATTTTTTATAAGTTTTCATTCATTCTGTAACTGAAACTTGAATCTGGTTTGAGCTGCGTCATCCTCACTGGTGGATAGTAACTATGTACATTTACTCAAGTACTGTACATAAGTATATATTTGAAGTACTTGTACTTTATTGAGTATCACTCACAGGGGCCCTTTTTTTCGGCACTGAGTGCTTTTATTTTTAATACTAATAATGCTTGTGTGTTTTTTTACTTAAGTAACATTTTCAGTGCAATACTTTTACTTGTATTGGAGTAGTTTTTACAGTTTGGTACTGCTACTTTTACTTAAGTAAAAGATCTGAATACTTCCTCCATCACTAGTAATCATTTCATTAAACATTTTGTTAAAGTTTTATTGTTACCAAGTAATGCAAGGTAGACTTTTCTTATTTATCGAAACTTAAACTGCATTAACACTAGGACTGGCTTATTTAGAAGTTTTTTGATACTGGTGTCAACAAAATACTTTCATAAAACTAAATTTCAGCACAGATACCAGTAAAGATTTTCAGTTTGAAAAATATAAATATGTTTTTCTATAAAACCCTTTAAAAAATTTTGCAAAGCCTCTTAAGGCATCGGTGCTTAATATGGACAGAAGCAGAAGTAGAGGAACTGTGCTTTAACAAAACAACAAAGTTATGATTAAACGAGGTAATTTCTGTATTTGTGAACTGTGATGGGTTACACAACCCAGGCAAAGCAAGTTCTCTTAATAACATGTTCATACCAAATTGAAATTAATGGCTGGGATGGTAGGAAAAATATAAAACCTAAAAGTGTACAGCATTCATTCAAATAAGTAATTTCCTAAAACAGCTGGGTACTGTAGTTTTTATAAAACAGGACTAAATAGTGCATTTGTTGGGAACTAAATTCATCTGCAGATTAATACACATTTGGTGTTCTAGTGAGTATTTGCAGCAGCAGGATGGTGTATGTGGGATCAACGCGACAGTGCCAATGATCATTGTAATGAAGGAATATGTGCAAACGTGTGGCTCAGTGATGTGTAATAGTTTTTGGAACAACAGCGGAGCTCTATTGGTCTATAAGTATAAGATATTTCCGTGTTGGTTACACAAATAATACTTATTAGTGAAATAATTTCACTGTTGGTTTTGGTCTTTTCATGGGATTTGATGACAATGAAACCTTACCCCTGAACCGCAGAAGCGACCGAGTCGATGTGAGTTGGCGTCGTACCCGTTGTACAGCTCGATGTAGTCATAACCACAGTCAGCCTCCTCCTCTACCTCGAAAGTAATGAAGCTCAGCTCGATGCCGTAGCCCTGTTCGGCCGTCAGCAACCACTCGCAGTCAGTGTGACCCGGGTAATTATTGTCTCCAAACTGAGAGTGGGAGTAGAGGTTCTTCTGACGGGCTTCTGCTTTCAGACGACCTCCACACTCTGCAGAGACACAGGATTAGGACAGAGAAGAGAGAATTTTTTAATCTGAAAAATTAGGCGTTTGATAGATTTAGTAGTTGTTGTTTTTATAGTGAACAAACAATAAGTCAGATTTCATGAATGATATATATCATGTATGTGC